CCCCCACCCCAGGGTTCCTAGGACTACGTGCCGGGCACATAGCACGTGCTCGGTGAATGTGCGCGCTTGTCAGGGGCTCGGGAGCCTGAGGGTGCGGGGAGAGGCCCCTGGTCCGGCAGCTGGGAATACATGACCCTCAGCCCGTGGACTTCCCTACCTCTGGATCCTCTTTCACAGGCCTGGCTTCTAGGGCTCTGCTCCTCTCTGCACATAAAACACAACAGCTCCTGAGTCCCAGGGTTTCTGGGAGCCTGACGGGGTGAGGATTGGTCAGGGTGGGGACTGGGCTTCCAGCCTAAACCTTGTGCTGCAGTTTCCTAATCTATAAATGGGGACAAGAGATCAGTGTTCTGCCAGGGCAGTGAGCTGCTTTCTCCGGGCCTGCTGTCCCGTCCCGCAGCAGTGTTCACCGGCGCCGTGTCGCAGAGCACTCTGGGGTTTCCCACTGCTGGCTTCTCCGCCCCCGCCCGAGCATGCTGGTCCCCTCTCTGCAGCTCTGGTCCTGGTGAGCGTGAGGCTGGGGAAACATGGGCCAACACCGCCCTCTGGTGGCCATCTATTTAAAAGCAGGGAGCCGAGGGCAGAGACTGGGTGACCTCTCGGGTCAACGGCCCAGGGTTTCTGAGCCCTTTAAATAAAGAAAAGGGTTCACAGGACCAGCAACAGCTTCAAAGAGGAAACATGCCCCCAACTCTGGAAAAAAAACACTTTAAATCTACTGCGAAAGAAATAGAACTGGGTTGGCAATGGGGCAAAACGCCTTAGAAGGCAGCTGGGGCAGCGGAGGTGGGGGGAGCAGTTGGACTGATCTGGATTCAGATTTGACTCCTCCAGTTATATTTCCTGAGTGCCTTGCTGTGGTTTAATTTCTGAGTCTCCATTTGTTTGTATGAAAAATGGGCATAACCAGGATTACCTCCCTCAAAGAGCCGTTGCAAGAACTGAATGAGATAATATAGGAAATGCCTCTCAAGGGATGCTTAGCAATACTAGTTCACTCTTTCACTTATTAGAAGACACTAACCAACTGTCTCCACAGCAGTAGTGCTGGGTGTGTGTGCAGGACACTGTCGGAGTCACACAGTGTGGAGGCTTACAACTTCCTGATTTTCCCATCTCTATGCAGTGTCTGCAGTTTCAATTACTTATAATTTTTAAATCAGCTCTCACATTTCTTTTTTTTTTAGCTAAATAAAGTTAAAGATAAGTTCCATATGATTTATGGGAATGGTTTATCAGAAATCAGTATCATTTGCCATAAATAAAATAGGGAGAATTAGCATTTTTTAGAGCTCACATCATACTGGGCACAGCCCGAATCCTTACCTTGTCATCTCATCCAGTCCTCACCACAATTTTGCTTTTTTGGGGGGTGTACTATAATTATCCCCATTTTATAGATGAGTAAACTGAGGCAGTACCAGCCTGAGCTTGCTCACTCTTTGCTAGGATGTGAGATCAGCAGGTCTTAGAGAGGTGATGAAACACATCAGCCAAGGACTTTCTCATGGAGAAGGCAAAAGCATTGAAGATAATTGAAAAGGGAGTGATTTTTCTCATCATGTGTGTGACAGGCAGAATAATGACCCCTCTCCAATAATGATTTCCAAATCTCCAGAATCTGTGAATTCTTCCAAGATAAAAGGGACTTTACAGAAATGATTAAGTGAGGACCAGGGAGAGTGATTGTCCTGGATGACCCAGGTGGGCCCAGTGTAATCAGAAGTGTTCTTCTAAGAGGGAGACGGGGGAGATTTAGTCACAGAGCAGGAGGTGTACCAGCGGAGTCAGAGACTGGAACCATATGGCCACGAGCCAGGGAATGCCGAAAGAATGCCTTGTCACCTTTAGAAGCTGGGAGAGGCAAAGAAACAGGAGCCAGGGGAGCCTCCACAAGGAACTATCTTGTGTGTTTGTGTTAGTTGATAGTCGTACCTGACTCTGCGACCGCACGGACTGTAGCCCACCAGGCTCCTCTGTCCTTGGGATTCTCCAGGCAAGAATACTGGGGTGGGTAGCCGTGCCCTCCTCCAGGGGATCTTCCCGACCCAGGGATGGAACCTGGGTCTCCTGCTGTGCAGGCAGATTCTTTACCATCTGAGTCACCAGGGAAGCCTACCTGTCGTTTAGATTTTGACCCCAGGACTGGTTTAGGATTTCTGACCTCAAGAACAGTAGTAGACAAGTGTGTGTTGTTTTAAGCCACTAAGCTTGTAATCGTTTGTGACACCAGCAACAGGAAGCGAGTATAAATGTACGGGAAGCTGTGACCGCATCCACTGGACACCCTCTCTGGTATCACCAGTGGCCTTTGTGCCCCACCTGGAAAGTCTCCTCAACAAGGAGTCCCCTCCCCCGCCCCCTCCCCCATCTCTGGGGGGAGGGCACTGGTTGGGGGCAGCGGCTCTGGCTGGGCTGCGTCACGCATTCCTTTTCCACTCAGGACTCCGTGGGCCATGTTGGCCACTCTAGGCCTCAGTTTCTCCATCTAGCAGATGGGGGGCAAAGCTGTGTCGTTTTCCAGGTCCTGCTCAGGTCTCGCCTATGGGTCCCGCCTATGGGTCCCTCCTATGGAGCTTATTAAAATGCAGTCTTCCCAGGCCTGTGCCCCAGAGACTCTGACGTGTGAGGCCCAAGTGGCACTGGGCATAGCCCTATTCAGGAGCCCCAGTGCACACCCAGCTTAGGGAGCCAGTGGGCTTGGGATCAGGTCATGGCCTGCCTACTATCCTTCGGAATCATGCCACTGGACAGCCTGCTCCTCGGAGCCCAGAACGTAAAGTCTCCGCTCTGCCATTTCCAAGTTGGGTGACTGATGCAGGGCAAGTCCTTCTGCCTCTTGGGCCTGTTTCCTTAACTTAAATTGAGACTGATAATAGCCTGTATTTCAGAGGGGGGTTGTGAGAGTTCAATAATTACTAAGTGCAAATTGCCAAGAGCAGTGCCTGGCACATAGTAGGTACTTGAGTGTGTTGCCTCTCAAAGTATCAGCTGCCCGGCCTGGCATTCCAGGCCCAGCCCGCACGGCTGAGCTCTCCTGTCCCATGGTCCCCTCGGCTTGTGGCCACGTGGCCATCATGTGCCTGCCGGCGGCGCCTGCCTCTCCTCTCCACGGGGACCGCTCTGCCTCACTTTCATCCCACGGGAAGACGGCCTCCACGGCTGGGCCCTCCCACCCGGCCCGCTTTGCTGTGGCGCCCAGGGTGCACCTGACTTCCCTGTGGGGCCCACAGCCTCCAGAGGGCAGGGATGGCGCTTTCTCCAGAGCTCTGGACCAAGCACGTCACACTCGTGACGGGGAGAATAGGCTGTGAGTGCTCATCTTTGCTGTGGTCTGTGCTGTAGAAGTCGGGGCCACAGCAGTGACTCCCCCATGCGTCCCTGTAAATCAGAAATCAGCTCTCACAGTTCTTTTAACTTGATGAATTTATTTTAAAGATCCAGAATCAGTCTCCCAATGCAGGGGACACAGGTTTGATCCCTGGTCCAGGAAGATTCCGCATGTTGTGGGGCAACTAGGCCTGTGGCCACAACTACCGAGCCTGCATGCCCTGGCGTCCATTGCAAAGCAAGAGACGCTGCCACTCCTAGAGGGTAGCTCCCACTCGCTGCACTAGAGAAAACCTGCTTACAGCAATGAAAACCCAGCACAGTGAAAAATAATTAAAAAAAAATCAGCTGACGCCCGTGTGGCTGGCCCGGGGATCACCTGCCCTCATCTCTTCGTCCCATGGTCAAGGCCGGTGTCAGCATGCTCACTCAGAGTCCAGCTGGATAGACCTTCATGTGACCCATTCTGAAGGCAGATCCTAAGACCCCTGGAAACCACACCTACTCAAGTGTAAATGTCGTCACTTAACAAAACTAGGCAACACCTGTTTATGGAAATCTAACACTTTCCCAAGTATTACTTTGGTGTAATTTTACATTGGTATAAATTTTAGATTAGATTTTTTTATTACACGTAACACCAAATACGTTATTTGTGTTTAATTTTAAACTCTTTTTAAGGTTTGTGTGAATTTGGGGAGTCTGCCACTGGGACATATTTTTCATAAAATCTACTTCCTTTCCCCCCAATTTTATAAATAGTAAAAAATAATCAAATCCAACTATCTTCAGAATTTTCCCATTAAAGTCATTAAGAGTTAAGTCTAAGAAAAACAGTATGGTTAGTCGTGCTTATTATTATAAGAGTTTGGGTTCATTGCTCCGATCACTATAAGGGTTATTTATTATGGTCGGCTCAGTGAACAGCAGACACTAGTATTTTATGGAAGTCTTCTTCACGGTACCTGCTTGTGGGTTTGCTGCAGTGCCAGCTCTTGCCTTTCCTGCTCTCTGTCCTGACCCCCCGCCCCACCTGTCACAGGGGAAGAATACTTTACCACCGATCCCTCTGTCCCTCACCTGACCTCCTCTTCCTTCCTAAGTCCGCCTCTGGCAAGATCCTATGAAAAACTGGCTTTGGGGCTGGCCCTTGTCTCTCTTGAAACCCTTGTTATCACACCCTGAAATGTCTCTCATTCTGGGTCCCACCGCGCCAAGGGTCTTCCTTTACACGGAATCTGCTTCTCCACCTGCCGCTCACAGGCGTGAAGCCATGAAGATGCTCAGGCTGGCCCAGGCCCTCTCCTCAGGGACCCTCCTCTGCTCACACGCACGTCCCTGCCCCTTTGGAAAGTGAACCCAGCCTGGGCAAAGCTCTGGGCGCTGTCTCACCTCAGGGAATTCACAGCGCAGCCTGACCCCCCATCACCACAAGGACAGAGCTCGGTGGGGGCCTTGTTGAGAAGAAGCTGGACCAGACAAACAGGGTGGGTCTTGGAGAGGGGAGGTGGTGGCTACAGGAAAGGACTGGGGTGGACACAGGCGACAGACGGCCTGGACGTGAAGGCGTCCAAGATGCAGCACCAGGTAACAGCTCACTTCCGGCCCATTCATTCGTTTATCTTTGGCAGTGTCGGGTCCTAGGTGCAGTGTGCGGGATCTTTTGTTGTGGTGCACCGGCTTCTCTCTAGCTAGGGCGCCCAAGCTGAGTAACTGCATCATGTGGGCTTAGCTGCCCCATGGCACGTGGGACCTTAGTTCCCCGACCAGGGATTGAACCCGTGTCCCCTGCATTGGAAGGCGGACTCTCAACCACTGGGCCACCAGGGAAGTCCCCAGATAGCGGTTTGATCCCTCTGTTCCATGTACCAAGCGTGTGGTCTTAGCTCACATCATGTCTCTGTGTCTTGGTTTCTTCATCTAGATAATAACGTAAAGTAGAAAACTGTTAACCAAAAATAAAATATATTTAAATGAACTGAATTCTTGGAGAAGATTCCTGGGGGTGGTATGAACAAGGCAGGCAGATTTTCACTGGGAAGGGCTGGAGCCAGGTTTTATAACATCACTGGAGGGCCTGGGCCTGCCTGTCTCCTAAGTGTCCCCAGGTGCTCCCAGTCCAGTCCTGGGCCTGAGGCGTTCGGTTGATGGATCTATGCACTGAGGCTTGCTTGAGTCATGGAATCATTTTTATTGTCAGTAAGAAACAGTAACACTTTGGAGATGGTCAGCTAGAAAAGAGACTGGTTGTATTAAAAATATAAAGTACAAAACTGTTAACCAAAAATAAAATAAAAGAATATTTAAGAGCTGTTCTGTTAAGTGCTAGGACTTAGAAAATGAAACACACCACAAAAATATAGCTCCTTATATCTAATAAACTGGGTTGTAAAAACACATGCCCAGGATGATGGGGAGATATTCTGGGAGAAGGCATCCTTGGTGGTTCCTTGTGTGGCTAAGAATCCAAACGGGGCGTCGTCACTCAGCACCTGGGTGAGTGGCCCTGGTGATGCTAGGTCTATCACCAGTGACAGTGGGGCCCGGAGCAGCCCACTCTCTCTGTGTGAGTGCAGGCCACTGATGGATGGGCTCCCCTCTCTTTGAGGCATCAATGTCCCACTGCCTGTCTCCAATTCCAGAAACCCCCATCCCCGTCTCCCCAGGCACAGCCGTGGTCAGCAGCATCTCACAGGTCGGTGGACATGGAGTCAGAGGTCGGCTTGCCTTCTTCTGCAGGTTTGCCAGCCAGCTGCATGGGAAAAGAGGATGAACAGACACAGCCCGAGATAGGGTTCCCATGAGCCCCAAAGCAGGGCTCCCCACCCCCCTCAGAAAGGCCCCTGAGCTGACCCCTGCCAGAGCCCACTGGGCCTGAGCGGCTGTGACCTCGGCTGACGTGACAGAAAGGCTGTGCCGTGCAGTGGTGAGAGCACAGGCTTTGCTGTTTCTGGGACCATGTGAACTTGGACGGGTTGCTTACCAAACTTGGTGAGCCCGATAAGGGATAGAGGAAGGTCAAACGGGATCACGTTTGGAAAGGGCCTAGCCTGGGGCCTGACTCCACGCACACTCGCAGGGGACGTGCAATTATTACAGCCACGGGGTTTGGCTTTAGTGGCATCCTGAGGATCAAACTGCTGGGGTGCCTTCCTTCATCTGGAGCAGACTGACAAGCAACAATGGAGACAGGACTTGGAACGTCAGGGTTTGGAAACTAACTTTTACATAGGATTCTGCAATGTAAGTTGAACAGGAAAGTTCTTCCAAAAGAATTAAAAAGCAGTTTTAGCTGCCCAGGACAGCTGGCTGCCGTGGCTCTGACAGGAGCAACAGAGGACAAGTCAGGCAAAGGACAACTACAGGCCCTGAGTTCCCAGGAGCCCGGCGCGCCTCTGACACAGTCCTGCCGCCCGCGGGGCCCATCCTGCTCCGGCGCGCCCCCTGGAGCCCACGAGGAGAACGGCACTCTGGGCCTTTCTGGCCTCCGTCCGCACCCTGGGGGCCCGGCCCCCTCCCTGGAGGGGACCCCATGGGTAACACACGCACGCGCACACCCCGCACAGGTCCCCCTCCCTGGAGGGGACCCCATGGGTATAACTCACGCACGTGCACACCCCACACAGGTCCCCCTCCCTGGAGGGGACCCCATGGGTATAACTCACGCATGTGCACACCCCACACAGGTCCCCTTCCCTGGAGGGGACCCCATGGGTATAACTCACGCACGTGCACACCCCACACAGGTCCCCGTCTCCTCCTCCGCCCGCGAAGCCCTCTTCCCTTCCTCCTCCCACAGCCCGGGGCTCACCATTGTCTTGAAGAACTGGTTCACTTTCTTCCTCTTGAGCGTCTTCTTGTCACCATCTGACAGATGCAGGAAGGTCTGGCTGAGGCGGGGGGATGCGCTGGCCTCGTCCGTCCCAGGCACGCCGACCACCGAGAGTGTGAGGGCTGCAGGGGAGCCGAGAGCCGCGTGAGGGGTGGGTGCAAGGAGGGCGACTGGGGGCGCGTGGAGCCAAGGAGGGCAGAGACAGGGTCCCGGGGGGAGATCGGCCGCGGGACAGGCAGGAGCCGTGTGCGTCCCAGGGCCGCGGAGGCCGTCCGTCTGCTTCGCGGAGCCCTGCCTAACTCCGCAGACAAGGGCCTGCGTCCTGGTTCCATCAAGGCCTCATCTAAGGTCTTCTGGGCTGGAAACAGGGGGCCCAGGGCTGGGGGGAGGCCCCGGCCACTGGAGCCTTTACTTCTTCATGAGCAGGCCCTCTGCCCACGTCAGGGAGACAGTATGGGCGCACGCGTGTCTTCCGACACCGACAGCGCAGAGTTCCCTGTGGGGAGAGCCTCTCCGGACAAGGTATCACCTGGTGGTTAAGGCTCCCCAGCTTGGAGTCACAAAGGCTGCTCTGATCCTTGGCTTTGGCCTTGGGAACGTGGGGGTAAGAGCACAGAGCTCAAGGGAGTTGTAGGCCTTCTGAGGGGACGAGAGTGGAATGACTGTGGGGGCATCCTGCCCAGGCGCTGGGCACCGGTGGGGGCACCATTCCTGGGGCCTCCACTACTCAGGGAACGGCCTAAGTGGGAGTCAGACATTCTCCAAGCCTCAGCGTCCTCATCCGTACAGTGGGACTAATCACACGACCTATTTCACAGGTTTGAGAGGAGGCTTAAAGCAGCGGTCCCCAACCTTTTTGGCACCAGACACCAGTTTCATGGGAGACGCTTTTTCCACGGAGTTTTCAGGGGGAATTGTTCAGGTAGTAACGCAAGTGATGAGAGGTGGCAGATGAAGCTTTACTCACTTGCCTGCCGCTGACCTCCCACTTGCAGCCTGTTTATAACAGGCTGCAGACTGCTTGGGGCTTGGGGACCCCTGGCCGAAATGAAACAACAAAGGAGGAGCATTCGGCACGGAGCCTGGCGCAGAGCGGCTGACACTTGAGACTCGCCACGTGCCAGATAGAGCGCTCTCGAGCTGGCCGCATCCCCAGTTAGGGACCCGGGTCCCCATCTGTGAGTTAGCAAAGGCCTTCTATATGTTGCTGATGTCCTCACCAGACAATGAATGAGTGATGGGGGGAAACTGAAGCATCTGTGCATCGAACACTCTGCAACTGTAAGATGTGATGGCAATTTTTGTAAGTTCTGGAAATAGTCTTCCAGGCCCCAAAAGGAAACACAGGACTGACAGACTTACCAGGCACAGACTTCCGGTCCCTGGAAGGGCCTGGCTAACTGAGAACCAAGGCCCAGCTGGTGTGACATATGGATTCTCACTGAATCCTGAGGTCCAGAGTGACGGCAGGCCTCTGCCCACTGCCCCAACCCTGGGCAGAGCGTCTTTGGATGGCGTCACCCACTGGCGTACCATGAGCGGGGCCACTTCCTCCGGCGTGCTTAGCTGACATTGCTCTGTTGTTGCGGCTCCCACCCATCCTCACCCCTGGCACCTCTGTACCCCCGTGCTGGTGGTGGAGGGCACATACCTGGGATGGTGGGCATGGACTGACTGGCAAAGCTCATCTGAGAGAGGATGGATGCCCTGGGGGCGACGGCCACGTGCTCCGAAAGGTTGGTGTCACTCATGAACTCATGCTTCCTGGAGAGCTGGACGAATACATCATGCACATGTGAATACACACACACACACACACACACACACACACACACACACACAGGCTAAGCATGACACAGTTCTAGGCTCTGAAAAATCAGTGGTAAGGGATTGGCATGGCTTCTAGAGGCTCAGCCTAAAGTCCATTTATTCTGTTTTGTGTCACTCTATGTCAATCTACACCATAGGCTGAATTCTTTACAACTGTGGTTGTATACACAGTTACATACTGCACATACTATGCAACTGTGGTGGTGGCATTCATTTAGACTATTGTGTGAATGACACCCCCTGGAATTATGAAACACTGTCTTACCTCCAACCTTTTCCCCCTGGCAAGAGTAGTCTCTGAGGCCTACTGAGAAGTTTGGGGATGATTCTTTCGTCACTGGAAGGGATCTCAGCTGGCCCCTGCCCTTTTGTCTGGCAGCCCTCCCTTACCAGAACGCTAAATCCCTCTTCCTATTCCAGGCTCCCGGAATGCTTTCAACAAACTTCTCTCTTGGGGGGAAGTTGGGGTTGAACCCAGGGCTGTTTGGCACTAAGTATCATATTAAATAGTTATTAGTTTATAAGACAAAAATTCTCCAAGTCAGGGCAGTGAGAATTTCAGCTCTGCATGCCCATCTGGGCTCTGGGTCCACGGGAGGAGCTTAGGGGAGTCTGAGATGTCAGTGGTTAGACTGGCCCTGAGGTTGGGGACAGAGAGCTGAGAGGTAGAAACACCTGGGCCAGCCTGGGAGGGTGACTCTCCCACACAGTGGTGGGCCAGGAGGCTGCTGCCCACTCTTGCAGAGTCTTGTGCGATGGTAGAAAGGAGACAGTGACAGACTAGGTCAAATTCCACTCTGTCACATCCAGGCTGCTGGGGCACCAGCCAGCACGTCACCTCCCCTCAGATGCCTCATCTGTAACCCCATCTCACTGTGAGGCTGGAGCAAGCCACGTCTCAGAGCCCCCAGCACTGCGCTGGACGTGCAGGGGAGATCTGCCTGTGGCATCAAGAGGACCCTGCCCGGCCACTCACCCGCTTCAGGTCTGACTCTGCTGATGGCTTCTCGTCTGCGAACACCACACTGCTCCTCTTGGCTCTCTTCTTGGACCTCCGCAGCTTGACCTCAGGCAGAGTGCTCCCTGGGGAGATGGGTTCCTCCTGCTCCACTTTTGGAGTCTTGGGAGGTGCTATTTCCAGGTCGAAGCTGAATGGCAAGAAGGACGGCAGTAGAGACTGCAGTTAGAACTTTAGTGGAACTGTCTTGCAGGGACCCAGGCTGACTGACCTGTGATTACAGGGCCAGGGCATAGATCAGCTCATCTGGCAGAGTTTGGGGAGCTGCTTAATTTGCAAACACTCCAAATACAGGGTAAAATAAAATGGAAGGCAGTGAGCCATAAGACTGGTGACAGGAAGAGAAAACTGGTTAAAAATATGGATCTGGATTTCAATCTATGCCACTTCTGAGCTGAATGACTTTGGGCAAATCACTCAGCCTCTCTGAGGCATGACTGTCTTTTATTAAATGGGGTGTTTGCAGCAACGTTGCAGAGTAGCCGAGAGATGAGACCCAGGAGCCCTTAGCACAATCTCCTGGGGAGTGCGCCATCACGGGATCTCGGCAGTGCAGCAGCTGAGCTGGGCTGGGTGGAGCAGAGGGCTCAGGGAGGTGGGAGGGCGGAGACCCCGAGTGGCTGAGCAGGGAGACCTGCACAGAGGTGCGGGCAGGTACAGGAGGAGGAGCTGGGGGAGCAGATGAGGAGCCTGGCTGGCTGGTGGAGACTGCCGCGCGCTGTGGGCGAGTTCTGCAGGGCGCTCAGGAAAAGCCACATTCCTCTCCGGGCCTCAGCTGACCCCCTAGCAAGGGCACTGAGCCTTACGGGGTGGCTGCGAGAGTTCTAGGTGAGGGAAGGCTTTGGGAGAGACAGGCAGGAAGGTGGAGCGGAAAGCCCTGGGGCAGAAAAGGCAGAGAGGCTGTGCTGGGGGCTGGGCTGGGGCAGGGCTGCAAGGGGGGCCTGGGGCAGGCACTGACCTCTCGGAGGTGGCCTTGCTGGGCGTGCTGCAGTCCGAGTTCAGGGAAGCCATGGAGATGATGGACATCTGCCTGTAGGAGCGCAGCATGGACCGGGGCCGACCCACACGCCTGTCCTCGAAGTCGGGCTGCGGGGGCAGGGGGCGCAGAGCAGGGGGTTAGCAGGCAGGCCTGATGTTGGGGCGGGGCACTGGGGTGAGGTGCCCTCCACAGTCCTGCTGCCTTTCTCCTCCACCTGGGCGGGTGGAGCTGTGGGCAGAGCAGTGCATGAGGACAGAAACTTTCTGGCTGGCTGAGCCTCTGGGTGGTTGTTTAATAAAGAGTTCGTCAGGCCTTTACTGCTGGTTCCTGATAGCTGATGTCCAAATCCTTACAATTTCCCCTCTGACACGAATGTCTCTGTTTTCCACCCCTTTTACACTGAGGGGGGGAAACAGGATGGGGGCTGGCCAGACAGACCAACCTTGTGATTACAGGGCTGGTTCTCCAAGCCAGATAATGTCAGCTCGGCATCTGGGGAGAGAAGGGGAACTGGAGATGGATTTCAGTTACATGGCCCAGGATTCATTCAGTCATGCCTATGCAATGAAGCCCTAATAAAAACTCCAGACCCTTAGGCTAAGGTGAGCTTTCCTAGCTAGTAATCAAACATGGATGTCCCAACAGGATAAATATTGACTATGGCCCTTGACTGTGTGGGTCATAACAAACTATGGAAAATTTTTAAAGAGATGGGATATCAAACCACCTGACCTGCCTCCTGAGAAATCTGTATGCAGGTCAAGAAGCAACAGTTAGAACTGGACATGGAACAACAGACTGGTTCCCAATCAGGAAAGGAGTATGTCAAGGCTGTATATTGTCATCCTGCCTATTTAACTTATATGCAGAGTACACAGAGTACATCATGAGAAATGCTGGGCTGGAAGAAGCACAAGCTGGGGAATAAAGATTGCCAGGAGAAATATCAATAACCTCAGATATGCAGATGACACCACCCTTATGGCAGAAAGTGAAGAAGAACTAAAGAGCCTCTTGATGAAAGTGAAAGAGGAGAGTGAAAAAGTTGGCTTAAAACTCAACATCCAGAAAACTAAGATCATGGCATCCGGTCCCATCACTTCATGGCAAATAGATGGAGAAACAATGGAAACAGCGAGAGACTTTATTTTGGGGGGCTCCAAAATCACTGCAGATGGTGACTGTGGCCATGAAATTAAAAGACGCTTNGGCAAAGTAATGTCTCTGCTTTTTAATATGCTGTCTTGATTGGTCATAACTTTTCTTCCAAGGAGCAAGCATCTTTTAATTTCATGACTGCAGTCACCCTCTGCAGTGATTTTGGAACCCAAGAAAATAACATCTGTCACTGTTTCCATTGTTTCTCCATCTATTTGCCATGAAGTGATGGGACAGGACCTTAGTTTTTTTGAATATTGAGTTTTAAGCCAGCATTTTCACTCTCCTCTTTCAGCTTCATCCAGAGGCTCTTTAGTTCCTCTTCACTTTTTGGCCATTAGAGTGGTGTCATCTGCACATCTGAGGTTATGGATAACCTATGTATATTCTTTGGTATAATTTAAATCATTGCTAGATTACTTATAATACCCAATACAATGTAAATGCTATATTAGTAGTTGTAAATATAAACATGAGGTTAATAGTTGTCAGCATAGCAGATTCAAATTTTGATTTTTGGAACTTTCTGGATTCTTTTCCTCAAATTTTTTTGATCCTCCCTTGGTTAAATCTGCAAACAGAGAACCCATGGATATGGAGGGAGGGCTACTTCTTGAGTTGTGTGAAATTATCAGACCTGAAGGGGTGGTGAGAATCTCCAAACCTATAACCAGCTAGTCAGAGGTGCAGGGAACCCTGGTGTCTTGGTGAGGGTGTCTTGTGGAGGACTCTGCCCATAACCTAAGTATGTGGCCTAAGTTTGGGTGGTTGCAATCAGAACTGCATTGGGTATCACACAGTGTTGGAAAACGCAGCCTGTGTCATGGAAAAACTGCTGGCGTGAAGACAAGAGACCTGAGTTCACCTGTGTGCTTTCTAGTATCTCACTTCCTGTCTCTGGGCCTCAGTTTTCCCATCTGTAAAATCAGAGGGTTGGACCAGATGGCCTCTGAGAGACTACACAGCCTTGACATTTTATGATGATACTTTCTGGAGAAGAGATAAAAGAAGAGGTTCTGTGAGCACCAGGCTAATGGCCTCTTGAGGAGACAGAGCTTGTCAGTGGCCAAAAGTGCAGGCTTTGGAGGCCATCAGAGCCAGGTGCAAACTCTGAGCCTCACTTACTTGCTCTATGTTGTTGTCATTAGTCACTAAGCCCGACCCTTTGCAGCCCCGTGGACTGTAGCCCACCAGGCTCTTCTGTCCGTGACATTTCTCAGGCAAGAACACTGAAGTGGGCTGTCATTTCTTTCTCCAGAGGATATCCTGACCTAGGGATGGAACGTGCATCTCCCGCTTGGCACGTGGATTCTTTACCACTCAGCCACCTGTGAAGCCCCATTTGTTATATAGCCTCTAGCAAGTCACTTAACGCCTTGGAATCTCGAGAATAGACACCAGGCTTTAAGAACCACTCCCAAGCTTGTTGTGAAGCCTAAATGATCTAAGTGCTTAGATCAGATCAGCATATAGTAAGTTGGTGCTTCATCAGTGTTGCTTTTATTATTAGCACAATCTCTTGATTGTTCAGGACTCAATTTATAACTGGCATTTATCTGAGATGGTGTTTAAGGGACCAAGTTTCCGGAAGGTTCTCTGGATTGGCTGTGGCACTGCTGGTTCTCAGGTCCCTCTCAAGGGCAGGCACCTTTGCTCTGGTCTCTTCACCCTCCCTGCCCCACCCCACCCATCTCACCCTCCCTGGCCTTGGGGACCAGCCGTACCATCTCTCTGACACCATATTCCTTTTCCACCTTCACTTTCAGGTTCTTGAAACATTCCTCCATCCGGTCGTGGAAGGGCCGCAGATTTTCTGACACTCTTCTCTCGTGGATCTTAATGCCAGCTCCCAGGAAAGGGATCTGAGGAGAAAAGTGGTAAATGATGAGCCAGAGGTTGGCCACTTGGCTTCAGGGAGGGCGCTGAAGTCAAGTCCACCTGCTGAGAAACTGCTGAGGGCTGTAGGGTCTCGACAACCTTTAGCTGGGGTCACCAACCCTGGGAAATGGGAAAATTGCATCCTTGAGGTTTGAAAGACCTCTGACTGTCTTGTCATGGAAGGGTTGCACCCTCTCCTCCCTGCCCCTCCCGTTAGTGGCTGCATGCTAGGGAAAGTCTGCATCTGGTGAGGAGCAGAGTGTGAGACCAGAGGAGTGGGGTGTCTGTTGCTTTGACTTAAACCCTTGTCCAAGAAGTTCTCAGAGATGCAAAAAGGAGAGTGTGACTGTTCAGAGACTGGGAGATAGGAGAAGGGAAGGGCTGAACAGAAAAGGCGTGGGCACAACCGGGTCTTACAACATGTATCCAGTGATAAGACCAAAGAAAGATAGCCGAGTGTTAATATCATGGAGCTAATGAGCCAATAGGGAATTTTTAAAGTGAAAGTTAGTCACTCAATCATGTCCAACTCTTTGCGACCCCATGGACTGTAGCCCACCAGGCTCCTCTGTCCATGGAATTCTCCAGGCAAGAATACTGCAGTGGGTTGCCATTCCCTTCTCCAGGGGATCTTCCTGACCCAGAGATCGAACCCAGGTTTGCTGCATTGTAGGCAGATTCTTAACCATCTGAGCCACCAGGGAATGGAATATTTTTAAAGTGATGTAGAAGTCCTGGGAAGATGAGGGGAAGAGAGGACTCATGAGGCAGTCAAGCCCTTACTTATCAGCAGAGGAGGCCAATCCACACTGCGTGAGTGGTGGATCCAAGGACAGAAGCCAGGACACAGTGGCTGCTGTAAGCTGAGAACAGCTGAAAAACTTAGCAGTATGATCTCAGGGAAGCATAATGAGGACTGCAAGGAGTACAATACAGATCCCTTCGGAGAAAAACAATGTTTTGATGATGGTGACCCAAAGACATTTCTGCCTCCTTCTCTTGGAGTGCTCCCCCAAATGGCAAAGTAAAGGAGAAACTGAAATTCAGTAAGACCAGGAGACACCTATGAACCTGGCCCAAAACATGTCGGGTGGAAGGTGGATGGAGGATGGTAACTGACCTTCCAGGACAGAGGAGGAGATGTGGTAAGAGGACAGTCTTCTTCTGGGAAGCCAGGAAGGGCTCAGGGGTTAGAGGCACCTGGTATCTCAGAAAAGCTAGAGTGAGTTGAGAGGCTGAAAACAGGGATGGATTGAAATTCTGTGACAGGAGCAGCTGGATGACCAGGTACCTGCAGTTTCATCTGGTAGCGTGTTATATTTTCTCATTTCCTCAAGAAGCAGGAGCTTACCTCTAGAATAATTAGAACAAAGAGCATTGAGCTAAGGGGTACCAGGCACAACAGAGGGCAAGGACGAGGAGCCGGACAGGAAACAGGGGGTTGAGGAAAAGTCTGCATAATGATAAAGGCGAGACCTTCATTTTTGTCTCCAATTGCCAGCAGCACAGAAGCCAGGAGTTGCTTTGCAGGCAATAGCTCAAAGCATCTGTCCTGGAGAAAGTGAACAGCCCAGACGTGTGTGGATTACTCAGTTACCGTATGTAATGCCATCCAGGTGACAAGACCTTCTCTCATGCCCACAGATATTCATTCAGCTTTTTACTGCCCCCACTCTTAACTAGGAACAGATTGCCAAGGATCACCAGGCATTGAAGGAAACTCTCCAGTGTGAAAGGCAGTGATCAGAAACAAAAGACAGGAAAGCAAGCAAACATGGAAGAGGAAGGAAAGAAGTGGGGGAGAAGGGAGGAAAGGAAGCATGAATGGGTTAATCTGAAAGAAACAGAGAACCAAGAGAGCCTGCTGCTGCTGCTGAGTCGCTTCAGTCGTGTCCGACTCTGTGCCACCCCATAGACAGCAGCCCACCAGGCTCCCCGTCCCTGGGATTCTCCAGGCAAGAACACTGGAGTGGGTTGCCATTGCCTTCTCCGAAGAGAGCCTAAGAAAACATTATTTAAAAAAATAATTAATGTACAAATTAAGAAAAGATTTTCTATCCATGAAACAAGAAGATTTTATTTAAAAAGAAAGGAATGATAATGGAAATATTGCATAAAACCTACTGAGATAGTGTTGTAAGTGGAGATAAATGTATAGTTTTAATTTTATTAATACGTTTTAGAAAAGATAGAAAATCAATTAGCTAAGCATCCATCCCAAGATATCAGTACAAGAGCAGCAAATTAAACACAAAAAGGGCAAAAGGAAGGAAATAATAAAAGTAAGAGTGAACATGAATGAAAAAGAAAATAAACTGACAAGACAGAGGATTGACAAGTCCAAAAGTTGGTTCTTTAAGATACAACACTGATAAACCCCTTATAGGGCTAATCAAGAAGATACCAGCAGGTGCCAATAACCAACATCAAAATTTTAAAAAGGAGTGTCACTGTAGGAAGTATAAGCATTATAAAAAATCATAAGAGGATATTATAATAACATTTATGTCAATAAATTTAATAGTTGGATAAAATGGACAAATTGTTAGAAAAATACCACTTACCAAAAAGGACACAAAAGAAACAGGAAATCTGTGAAGTATTATATTAAATACACACTTTAAAACATTCTTGGCCTGTGTGACTTCACAGACAAATTCTAGCAAACATTTAGGGGATAAATAAATGCCAACTTTATAGAGACTCTTCAGAAAGGATTTTACATGTGGAATGATTTTCAACTTACTTCTTGAGACCAGGATAACTGTTATAAAAATTTAAGAATATTATTAGAAAGGAAAATTATAGGTTAATATCTCTTTTGAGCATAGATTAAAAAATCCTGTAGAACATATTTTCAAATAGAATCTGGCAATAAATAAAAATGATAATACATTATAACCAACTGGGATTTACGTCATTCATGCAAGGTTGGTTTAATATTCCAAAATCAACCAAAATAATTCACTGAATTAGCAGGATAATGAAGAAAAAATATGAGTATCTCAATACATACATAAAAGGTATTTGATAAAGTAAAAGCCCATTCATGACAAAGTAGCAAACCAGGCATACAGTGGGACGTCGTCTTTAAAACACCGCACTCGGCGAGATACTGACTGTCGCCCTGATGCGGGAGACAGATGTCCTCCCTCTTCTTACGCTCATCAGTGCAAAGAGTGAGAAAAATAACTAAACCGTACAAGACTGGGACAGAATGAGTGAAACATTTTATATTAGAGATGACATGACTGTATCTGTAAAACATCAAAAAGAATGTACAAACAATTTGACTTACTAAGTGAATTTAGTAGGATTACTGGATACAATATAAACATGTTAAAAAAATGTAATTATACTGACAAACAGAAAAAAGTTTAAAAGCAATACTATTTATAATAGTTAAAGATATCAAATCCCTAAAAACAAGTCTAATAAAAATGTGAAATATTTTTACTATGAAAACGACAAAACTTGCTGAGTGAAATTAAAAAGCTAAAGAAAAGGGCAGAGATCCCATGTTCGTGTATTCGAAGAGTCACTATCATGAAGACAAAAATTCTCCTCAAATTAATTTATATATTTAACATATTTTAATCAAAATCTCTGTGTTTTAGGGGTGTTTAAAATGTGGCAAGCTGATTAAAAAATTTATATGGAAATATGAAGGATAAGAAAGAGCAAGACAAATTTGAAAAAGAAATTGAAGTTCTCACCACTAGATCTCAAGACCGACTCTACAGCTATAGTAATGAGAGTGGCATTGGTGCAAGGATGGACAGACAGACGGACGGGACAGAACAGAAGGTCCAGAGACAGATGGACACACATGTGATCGCTGTTGTCAGAGTGGGGGGAATAACAGTCTTCTCAACAAGTGGCGCTGGAGGGGTTAGAAATCCGTGCAGAAGACTAAGAAGGCCCTTACTGTATGTCAGTCACATCAGTCACATACGGAAGAGCCCAGCATGAAACCATGAAATGTCCCCATAAACACAGGGGAAGGTCGTCATGACCTTGGGGTGTTCAGTTTTTAAGTGGATACAAAAGTGATAATTATTAAAAATTTCATGAATTGGAGCTCATGAAAGCCACAAACTGCTCTTCTTCAAAAATACATTTAGAAAGCAAACAGACAAGCCACAGACCAAACAAAGATACTCACAATGTGTCAAACTACAGTATGTCAAATGCATATATTTGACAAAGAACTCATATCTAGAATATATATGAACTGTTCTGAATTATTAACAAAAGACAATTCAGTTAATAACATAAGTAAAAGATTTGAACAAACATTTCACAGAAAGGTTATTCAATTAGCCAGTAAACACAGGAAAATGCGATGAATGCCATTGCTCGTGAAAGGAAATGCAAATTAAAACTAAACCGAGATGCCCTCACAACACCAGGAAGACTAAAGCTAAAGAATCCCAGAGTCTGTGTCCGTTGAGTGTGGAGCGATTCGGGCTCCCAGAAGTCGTTGGTGGGAGTGTAAACTGGCTCAGCAACTTTGGAAACTGTGTCTTGGCATCCAGTCAGACTACAGATGAACGCATAACCCAGCACGCACACTGCTGGCCTGAGGCTGAGGGCGCTGAGCACCGCTGCTCACCGACAGACACGAGCGAGAGTGCTCGCACCACGGTCCGCGCCCCACAAAGCCGGAGGACAGCCGCCCTCAGGAGGAGGCTGGACACACACACAGCGAGGGGCTGCTACGTTGTGACAGGCACACAATGGCGAACCTTGGAAACAAGAAAGAAAGCTTCTCTTGCAGGCAACAGCCTGGATGGATCTCACAGACATTACACTGAAAAAAAAGCAGCCAGACACACAGCAACATACTGCATAATACCATTTTTATGATGTTCAGAAACAGGCAAAGTTTCAGAAGTTTGGCATTATCTATTAAAACCAGCTGAGCGCCGAAGAATTGATGCTTTTGAGTTGTGGTGTTGGAGAAGACTCTTGAGAGTCGCTTGGACTGCAAGGAGATCCAACCAGTCCTTCCTAAAGCAGATCAGTCCTGGGTGTTCATTGCAAGGACTGATGCTGAAGCTGAAACTTCACTACTTTGGCCACCTGATGCGAAGAACAGACTCACTGGTAAAGACCCTGATGCTGGGAAAGACTGAAGGCAGGAAGAGAAGGGGATGACAGAGGATGAGATGGTCCGACAGCATCACTGACTCAACGGACATGAGCTTGGGTAGACTCCAGGAGTTGGTGAAGGACAGGGAGGCCTGGCGTGCTGCAGTCCACGGGTCACAGAGTCAGACACGACTGATCAACTGAACTGAACTGAACTGATTAAAGCCAGATATTCTCATACATTATAACCAAGCAACTCAATAGCTAGGTATATACCTGACAGAAATTGAGCATGTGTGTGCTAAAAAGATACATACGAAGCTGTTCAGAACAGAACTACTTGAGATAGCCTCAAACTGAAATCACCCCAAATCTCCATCAGTTAAAAAACAAAACAAAGCAAAATTTTATGGCATAGTTATACAGTCCAGCTGCATACACTATTATACATCAATAAAAATGAATAAATAATGGTCTTGTATAATAAAATTAATCAATTTAAAGACATAACTTTAAACAAAATGTTAGACACAGAGGAATGCATACTGTGTGATTCCATTTATATAGAGGTCAAAAATAAAGAAAAGTTTAGAAATGAGTGCTTGGATGGTTAAAAAAATACTGTTAAAAAGTGAGTAAATGGTGATAGTAAAGGCAGGATAATGGTCAACCTTGGGGAGAGCTGTCAGTGACCACAGGAAGGCACAAGAGAGGCATCTGTGTGCGAGAGGAATTCTGGGTCTTCATCTGGGGGTGGCCACATGGGTGTACACTGTGATAAATCCACGTGCCGTGTATTTTTGTCATGTCTACTTCTCTGCGTGTAATGCTTCATAACCTGTTTACAAGAAGGATGTACTATAGACATCTTTCCACGCCGCTAGAGAAAAATCTTTACAAAGCAAACAATTAGGAAGCGATCCATCTTGAAATCCATGAAATCTTTAACCCATCATATCCTGTGCGCTTCTAGCTCCTGTTGTGTTGCTAGAGGTACGGGTATAGCTCCCTTTGAATTCTAAGGATCTTGTGTTTTGAGAAAATCCAAAGTGAATCTGGCTTTGCCAAACCAAGAGCCAATCTATAATTAAGCTTCAAGAGGAGAGGCAGGGAGTGGGTCCAAGCCTGGCACACAGTTGGAGCTCAATATATATAAGTTGCAAGAATGAATGGAAAGAAATGAAGGAGGAGGAACTAATCTGCTGTGTGCAATGTTAGAAAGGCCACCCTCACCCTGAGCAGGGCAGCGTCGCTTGAGAATTTAGGATGCCAGCCTCTGAGTGGGAGGGACGTGGTCCAGGGCAATCCTCGTTGGTGGGCTTCCGTCAGCAGTGTGGCAGAGAGGGCGGGGCTGGTGCTAAGGGGAGGGCATGCGCTCTCCACTAGGGGGCGCTGTTGGAGGATGCCTAGCCAAGGGCTCTGAGAGGCTGTAACATCCAATACATGCTTTTAGTCTCCTTTCTTTGCTTGTGGTGCCCTTTATTAATGGAAAGATTTTGGAAAACTTTCCTTAGAAGGCACAGCCTGGTATCAGCCGCACTGTGGGGCCACAGTCCAGTCCATACCTCGGGTGCAGCGGATACGGCCCAGAGGGTCCCCTCCCTGGGGATAAGGCACGCCCAGCAGCGAGGCCAGGGCAGTGACATGGATGGAGAATGAGGCCCGACAACCAGACACATTTGTGTGGCATTTTCGCCCTCCTTGGGGTGCCCCAGAAAGGACGGAAGCAGGAAGCCAACCAAGGTTGAGACTCCCTGCTTCCCAAGCTGGGCAGGGGGAGGGTGGGCATCATTACTTGAGCATTAAAGGACATGGTGGCCTCAAAAGCTGGGGCCCTTGGGAATGACAAGAGGCCCAAGGTAAGGAGGGAGAGAAAGTTGCAGACACAGAGAATGCACTCAGGAGAGGGCACTGCACAGCCCCTGGCGGTTCATTTTTAAGGCCTCGCTTTTCATAAATTGGCAGAGGCAGAGAAGGACCTGAATTAGGAATTCTTATTTTAAGAAAAGAGGCTGCACCCAATGCTTCGCATTCCTGATTTCCCTGGAGTCACAAAAACTCCCCACCACAGCTCGCCTTTCTTTGCACTGTGACTGGCAAGAAGGGAGGGCTGGCCGTGATCGAAGCCCCCCAGTGCGCCCTCTGGAGCCCACCCTGGGTCCTGGGGGCTGGGCGGGCCTGGAGAGCAGGGACGTGTTGGGAGGGGGTGCTGCAGGCCCAGGCTGGGAGCCTGGTCCTCTGATCACCCCTGGGGAGGGGTCTGTGGATCGTTTCTTCTCCAGGGAGTGGGAGATGGAGGGAGAGAAAACCCAGGAGAGGGAGCCGAGAAAGAGCAGAGAAGGAGGGAGGGCAGTGGAGAGAGAAGCAGAAGGGAAGCGAAGCCAGGAGTGAGGTGTGAGGGGGAGCAGAGAGGGCCCGAGTAGAGAGGGAAGGGGAGCAGAGAGCAGTCGGGAGAGAAATAGAGGGCGGTGCAGAGTGAGACACAGAGGAGACGCGGAGGGAAGGGACGGAGGGACAGGGTGCAGGGAGGGGACAGACAGACGAAAGACACGCAGGGAGCTGGGGGGGGTTGCAGGAAGAACAGTCTGTCCGAGGCCTGGGGCTGGACTGCCAGGGGCTGACCAGCTTGTGTGGAGGGCAGGCCTTTGACCCCAAACCAACCAAACCAAGGCCTCGATTATGTTTGAAAGCTGGTATCCATCTGAGCATAAACTGCGATAAACTGGGTCAGCCTTAGGAGGAGGGGAGGTGGGAGTGGGGGCCGGAGTCTCCCGGTATCTGATTGGCGGGTGCTGGCTGCAGGGGGTGGTGGTGGGAGGTGTGGGGGAGCCTGGATTTCATCTCGGCCCCACTGGGAGAGGCCACCTCCTGAATTCAGCTCCCCACAGAGCAGGCCCAGCAACGCACACAGCGCAGCACGCCTGCAGAGCGCCAGGCGGCATCCCAAGGCAACGCCCCGAATCCACTCCCAGGATGTGCCCACTCAGGTGAAGACAGTCAGAAGAAAGGTCCAAAGCCAAGGGCAGGACAACAAGGAAAGCTAGGCTATGGCCGCCAGGGGCCGGCGGAGGGCAGGCCGGCCAGCAGGGCAGAGGAGGGCGCAGGGCCGGGCCCCCAGCCCAGCTCTGCGGTACCTGCCAGGCGATCAGGTCCTTGAGGCGCGTCAGCTTGTCCTGGTCCTCTGGGTGCTCCCGGGTGTACTCTTCAGTGAAGAAGGCCTGGGGGGACAGACCGGACATTGGGGGTTTCCTGTGCCTTTGGTGAACCCCACCCCCCATCTCTCTGGCTGGGAGAGGATTCCATTTGAAAGGGGCAGGAGTGAGGCCATTGCTATGTAGATGGGCAACAGTCAGGGAACTCGGGGATTCTTGTCTCTTATTCCCAGGGCTCAGATCAATAGCCACTGGGAAAGGGTCACAAACCCCAGGGAAACAGTTGTTAAATGGGGGGTGGGGACGGTCTCCGACCAGTAGCATCACCACTGAACAAACCCCACCCAGGCTGACTGAATCAGAACCTCTGGTGTGGGGATGGGCTGGGGGCACCCATGTGTGCAGGGGCTTCCACTGCAGTTCAGTGCATCGTTCCCCAGGAAGAACCTCAGTAAGGAGTTTCGCCCGACCGGCTTTCCGGCTCGCCTCGCTGTGGTGTGCACCTCGGCAGCCCAGCTGTTTCAGGGCTCACGTGCTCAGTATGTGCACAAGCGTACAGACGCGTCTTATCACCCTCAAGCGTGTACAGAGGGTTACCAGTGAGGGCTGTGTGGGGTGTCCCAGGGTAACTGGAAGGACTGCCTGGAATTACTGTCCCTGAATTACACTAGAGTGTCGTATTCCTAGTCTTACCTCAATGGATGATACAGAAAAGTTAATAAGAAATTCATCATGAGATTTTTGAGAATGAGTTGACCATTTCTCCTTCAGTGTCCCATTAATGTATGGCTTAGGTGAAAATCAGAAAAAACTTTCTATTCTATCTCAGTGCTGGGAAAACCTCTGCCCCCACCCCTACCCCATCCCCACTTACTGAGTAATTATTTTCCTCCAGTGGAAAATGTGACTTTTATAACCGATGACCTTTCCCTTTTTGCCATGGACACCATGAGGCTCAAAAATGAAATCTGTGGCCGAAACGTGTGGGGATTTCTAGAGGGACCTTATGACCAGAATATCTAGATAATAACTCCCTCTTTGGAGTTGATCTCCCATCCCTTCTGGATTTTCACAGACTCTAGGTTTCACTTCTTCCCCTTTGTAGAGGTCATTTCCATCATCTGTAGAGGAGATGGCTTTTCACAAGTGGCGTGGACTTTGATTGGTGGATCCTGACTTTCATGGTCTGGATTATGGTCATCCCAGAGTCTTTCTTTGGCAGAGGCACCTGGATGTGCCCAGCGGGATAAGGGACCTCTATGACCACTGCTCCTTCCTGCACCACACAGAGCATGGCCTCGAGGGAGGGAAGGAGATGAGGGTCAGGCTGTAGGAACTCTGGGAGGGGCATGAGGTCCGAACCACCTGCAGTGTCCTTCTGAGGGACAGACAGCTGCATGAGGTGAGTGGCCGCAGCTGTCTGCCCGGGACCCTCCTGCCAAGGCTCTGTCCCTTCCAAGAGAGGGGAACCCTCACCTTCTCGTACTTGGCGAACCCTCCCATGACAGCAGGGTCCACGATCCCATTCAGGAGCATGGAGAGCGGGTTAATGGGGAGGGTCTCGTCACTCTGATACTGGTTTATCATCATCAGGATCTTCTCATTGGCGGTGGACATGGTTTCGATGGCATTCTCCAGAGGGCTAATTGTGGTCTGTTGAAAACAAGATCACCAAGAAGAAAGGGCCTGAGCAGGCTGCTTTAAAAACAGGTTTAATTATTGGGATTGATTTCCTTTGGGGTTGGAATTCAAATGAAGCAACGTTCCCCAAGGGGCTGTAGCAGGCTCCCATGGTAATTATTGAGCCCGGGGGGCTGTCTGCTGTCTGGGGAAGTGACAAGCTGAATATCTGCTTAGTGAGAAAAAGATTTCCTTGGGGAAATGAAGTAGGCAGTGGCAGGCACTCTTTGGGGTTTCAGTGGTTGGATGTGCTCCAAGGAGGCTTTTTGTTCTTATTACCTGGTGAGAGACACTCCCATCCAACCCATCTGGTACTGGATGTGCACCTACCATGTGTGAGCCCTGAGCTGGAGATGAGAGCCGCTGATGATACACTCACCAGCCTGGCCCACATCAGGTCCTGAGACTTGTTATATGCGGGGTCACTGCTCCAATGTAGGCTTCATTTAGTTGGGAGATAAAACTAAACACCCTTTCAATACCTCTTAAAAAGCAAGAGAAATAGAATGCTGAGCTTCCCAGGTGGCACAGTGGTAAAGAATCTGCCTGCCACTTCAGGAGACACAAGAGACAAGGGTTCAATCCTGGGGTCAGGAAGATCCTTTGGAGGAGGAAAGGGCAACCCACTCCAGTATTCTCGGCCTGGGAAATCCCACGGACAGAGGAGCTTGGCGGGCTACAGTCCACAGGGTCTCCAAGTCAGACACCACCGAAGGACTGAACACAGCGCAGCAAACAGAATGGCATTAGGTGCTAACTGGCAAAACTGTTGTTCCCACGAGCATAGGATCTAGACAAAACAGTAACTAAGAAGTCTTCAGACTTTCTCTGTGACAGAGCCAGATGCTGTCTGTGGCAACAACTCAACACCATCATTGTAGGAAGAAACTAGTGTGAGAATCAGTGAGAGTCTTTGTTCCATGAAACTACTTACCAAAATAAATGCAGGTGGGATCTGGTTCATAGGCCATAGCTTCCTGACCCTGAACTAAACTAAGCAAATTAAAAATGAGTGCAAATCTCAGCCAGTTTTTCTATCTGTGTGACCTTGGGCAGGTTTCCTAAACTTTCCGAGCCTCAGTTGACTTTTTGGTAAAATGAGAAGAAAATCTACTTCAGAAGGTAGCTGATGGCTGTTATTATTACCTCTTGTAGACATTAGGACAAGGCACAGCATCTGTCCTAAGAAGGGAAGACTCACTGGCAGGGCGGGTCGGGGCTGGGGGGAATGGTCAGGAAGCCTGAGAAATGTTCCTGGAGGAGGGGGCCCTAAGTGTTGCTGTCTGTTGAAATGGTGGTGTTAGCGGGCCTGCCTATGAGTGCACAGCGAAGAGTAGCTGAGATAACATGACACTTGACTCACAGCAGCGCTCTTTACAAGGTGCATCAGCTAGTTACCGTCACTGTGACTGTACGAGGGGGCAAATCCGGCATTCACAGCCTCGTTCTTGGTCATCTTTTTAAACTATTTCCCTAAATCCCTGGGAAATCCTAGCCTCCTCACCCACTTTCCTGGTCTCTGGGCATTTCTGAAGATGGCTGTCTCTTCAAAGGTCCTGCGAGTAGGCTGTCCCTGTGTGTCACGGTCACTCTGCACACGCACACACACATGTGCATGCACACGCACACACGCACACACACGGGAGTGGGAGGGGAAGGCTGCTCAGCCTGGTGGGGGCAGCAGCCCATGTTCTACAAGCTGCAACCCATGGCCCAGTGTCTGTCTTAGGAATCCTCTGAGCTGCATGACAGAAGCATTATTATTACAACTTAACACTGACCACTGGGGCAGTTCAAGTTCCATCTTCGGGCTTTAGCTTTTTCATAAGCAAAATAATTCCAATGGACGGAAACTAGGGATGTGTTTGCACATTGGAGATCTGTAGGTCAAACTGGGACTGGGTCTGTCATTTAGCCAGCACATGGGTTCTAAAGTTTTTAGAAATTAATTCAGCCTGAAAGAGTTTGCTGCAGCTTCTCCCACTGCCTGTTGTCTTAATGTGACCATTTCACATATTTACAGTATCTTCTTGATCTCTGGAGGTACTCAGATTTGTAGCTCTTGGATTAAATGACTTTCAGTGTCTTTCAGCTTGGAAACTCCATAGTTTTATCTTTTTTTTTTTGGCCACACTGTGTCTTGTGGGATTTTAGTTCCATGACCAGGAATTGAACCTGGGCCCTTGGCAGTGAAGGGTAGACAGCCAGAGAATTCCCATGAAATTCCATAGTTTTTTCATGTCTATTTTACAGATGATGAAAACTATGGCCAGAGATATGCTGTGTTTGTCCAACATCATATAGCCTCTTAATAACTAGGTTGAATTTGGCCCCCTGACCCCCAGCTCAGAACTTCTTGTAAAGATTAAGTATTCTCAGGACCAAGAACAAGGAAAGAACTCTCAATAACAATCCCATCAGAAAACACCTCTCTGTACAAACTGTACTATAGTCATGACAGTTCATGAAAGAAACTACCAAGAACAAGATACAAACTCTATAACACAAAAACAAATGTCTGGAGAGGAATTCACTCAGCAGGCATGAAATTTTTGTGTCTAAAACATCCTTAATTCTCAGTAACTCAACTGAGAGAGGTTAATAGAGATAAATTCCCTCTGGTCAACTTTTTGGAGGCTTTCCCAACCACTTCTGTCAGGGGGGGTTAGTTCAAGTTTGCTTTTTTCTTTCTTATTTTCGGATTCTTGGTTTCTTAAGTTAAGGGACCCCTTTCGGTTTTTTCGGGTTTTTGCTTTTTACTTGGTTGCGGGTTTGTTGATTTTCTTTATTACTTTTTTTTGGGCCCCATTTTTTTTTTTGGACTTTTTTTTTGCCTTCAGAGATATGGCCAGGAACAAAATGGACAAAAACCTGTCTTCCTGGAGCTCACAGCCTAGTGGAGCTTATATTCTAATGTTACTATATGTAAAATTATAGACATTAAAAATAAACACACAGGCAAGCTATGTTGTCCATCAGGAGGTGAGACGCCCTGGCAGAGGGGCTGGGGCATGTGGGGAGCGCAGGCAGGGATCCCCTGTTTGCCAACAGCCCCGCGGGGACAGTGACGAAGAGAGGCACCTCTCTGAGCCCACCAGAGGAGAGGGCACGGCCAGGGCCAGTGGGTGGAGACCACAGCTTAGTGGAAAGTTTCCAATTCCTAACCTCAAAAATGGGGTTAATCATAACAGCGTACTTCACAGGGTTTTGTGGGATTAAATAGAATAACGCTATAAAGCCCTTGAGACAGCTCCTGGAACACGTGTCTAAGCTTATCATACACCAATGTGTCCCTTGAATAAAGGTCATGTGTCGTTTCTTCCTCTCCAGGGCACTAACTCTGGGGAAGGCTGGGGACACACTGAGGAAGGAGAGAGTGACTCTATCCAGATGCCTGATACGAGAAGTTACAGTCAAACGTCACCTCTTTTATTTAAAAAAAAAAAATTGTCAGTTGATTTATTTCTGGCCGTGCTAGCTGTTAGTTTCAGCACTTTGGATCCTCAGTCACAGTTGTGGCATGTGAACTCTTAGTTGCGGCAGGCATGTGGGATCTAGTTCCCTGACCAGGGATTGAACCCAGGCCCCCCCGCACTGGGAGCATGGAGTCTTAGCCACTGGATGACCGGGGAAGTCTCAAACCTCATCTCTTTTACTAACCTTGAACAATCCACTAGCTCACTCAGTACCTGGGTTTCCTCATCTATAAAACGGAAGAATAATAATATCTACCTTGCAGCCTTGTTGAGGGGTTTAAATGAGGTCACACCTATGAACAGTTTAGCACATGCTCAGTAATGTCTGTTGATGTTATCATCTGTCATTCTATTTTCCTAAGGTCTAGGCCACGCCTGTGTAAAGGCGATTGGAGGGTCACCTGGCTTCTAGGGGTGTGGGCCTTAAGGGCTGAAGGGGGACGGTTTAAATGCTGGTCAAACAGCAGCTGGAAATGTCAGTCAGACCGTGTGCCTCCTGTGTGTGGAGCTCCAGTTCCCCCAGTGGAAAAGCCTGAGACCTCGTGGTGCCTACAGGTCCTACAGCCCTACAGACTGCTGCTACTCCCCCCTCACTCGTTCTAACTCAGTTGCAAGCTTGTTCTGCCCCAGGGCCTTTGCAGTTGCTGTTCCCTCTGCTAGAAGGGATATTCCCTCTGCCTCTCTTGGGTATTTGCATAGATCACTCCCTCACTTCCTCCAGGCTTTTGCTCAAAAGGCATTTAGCCAGAAGACTTACTCTCTCCATGCTGCTTAAAATAACCCCCATTTATTACCTTTCTCTTTTATTTTTCTCCAGACTAGTTTTCTCCAGCTGACATAGAGTATATTTACTCAGGCTTTTTTAGTGTCTTCACCACTAGAATGTAAGCTTCACTGTAAAATCTCCAGGTGCCTGACATGTGTTAGGAACTCAAACATTTGCTGAATGAATAAGTGAATAAGATATCCTGAATACGCCCCTGCTTCTCAAGTTTCCCTAGTCTTCCCTTTGCATGCTGGGAGCTGCAAGATCCTTAGCTATCTGAGAACATAGAGACCCTGAAGTGAGTTAAGAAGCAAAATACATGTTATATGTGGAGCAAAATACATGGAGTTCATACATTTGCGTTGTAGACAGAGCTTTGCCTCTGCATGATTTCTCCGAGCTTTAGTGTATCCAACTCTGAAACGAGTTCATAGCAGGATTCTGCAAAGGGGTCCCAGAGAACTGCTGTGGGGGAGGATATGAGGAGCTGAATGTGTCCATGGAGTTCCAGGCCCTCTGCTTCACCTGTACCAGCCACAGAGGCTCCCCGCTCATCAGGTTTATTACTGGATTCTATGGTACCTTTCATCTTCTGGGGAAAAAAGTTATCGGATGCTAAAAATTAAAAGCAGGTAAATTCGATGCTGCTTCGGGTCCCTTCCTGCACTGGAATTCCTGGAGTCCTGCCTGGAGGCTCAGACAGTAAAGAATCTGCCTGCAATGCAGGAGACCTGGGTTCAATTCCTGGGTCAGGAAGATCCCCTAGAGAAGAGAAGGGAATGGCNGCCCCCCCCAAATATGAAGAATCACATTTGAGGGGAAAGAGCTGAGAGAGACTTGGAGCTGGCCCCTTGTGCCAGCCTTGGCCCTTGGGAATAGCAGACAGGTCCTGGGAAACACAGGGACACTGGGGACTGTGAATCCCCGAGGCTGACAGCAGCTCTTGCCAGGCCTGGGTTATATGGAGAGTGGAGAGGCTCAGGAAATGAGACGACAAACCCAAGAAAAGAGCCTGGAGAGCGGGTGTCATCATAGCAACAGAAGCCAGGCTCCTTCCTGCGGGTTTGGGCCAGAGGCCCTCCCGTTATGCTTCTGGCAGGAGCAAGCTCAGGCTGGCACAGAGGCCCAGGGGAATGACCGAGGCTGCCGAAGGGGAGAGGAGACACTTACGGCAAACTCATTCTCGGGATCGACGGCCCCCCTGCGCACTGGCCGGGAGTAGTGGAACTTTTGCACATAGTTGGATTTGTAAAAGCTGCAAGAGAAGAAGAGGCCGAGGCCGCTGAGAGCAAAACCTGACCTGAGCCTGCACTGTTCAGGGAGGCCCTCCGCAGTAAACTCTAGGTCTGGTAGAGCCCTCGCTGTAGCGTTTAAAACCAGGCTTTCCTTCTAAGATGATTTAGAAGCTCGTCAGTAGTATGCCCTCATAAGAACATAGCAGCCCTCAGGGTACCCCCAAAGTTGAAGTTCTATCATTAATACACATATTAGTGCCGGGCCATTGTTTCTTATGATCTAGATGAAGGATCTGGATACATCAAAGGTCCTAGACTAATGGCCCAGAGGTATCTTCTAAGGATTCCTTGAGGTGTCCTGGTACCCCCCATCAGTCTTCCTGAACCTCTAGGACTGTTCTAGCATCAGGGCCAGCAAGGCATGGTGCTGGCTGTGTGCTTGTCATCCCGTGCCCGAGGGGGCCTTACTGAGATGGGGACGGAAGGCTGAGATGCAGGCTGAGCTACATCTGTCCCCCTACCTCCCTAGCATGGGACCACTTCTCCCGCAAAGAGCAAGCCATTCCTCTCACAACTGAGCTCCTGCTTGGACAGGTCCTCCCAGAGAAGAAGCCTCTCCTAAGGCACCCAAGGTGTGAAACCAGGCACCTGGGCTTAAGGGTGGTGAGCCAGACAGCTTGGAGTGGGCACCCTCCACTCACCCTGGGAGGCACCGTTGGAGTGGGCACCACCCACCCTGCCGCCCAGAGATCCCACAGACCTTCTGCTTCGCCGCCTCATTCCTGACCTTGGCTTCTGGTATTAAACGGATCACTCTTGTCTTCATGCTGCTACCTCCAATGCCTCCTTTATCTTATTTTATATTTTAAATTTTCTGGTTTGTGGGGTCTTAGTTTCTTGACCAGGGATTGACCTCTGGCCCTCGGCAGTGAAAGCACTGAGCCCTAACCACTGGGGGAACTCCCGTGATGCACCCTTTCTAAATGGTAATCTAGACACATCCACCGTCAATGCCCAACCTTCAGAACGCCTAAAAGATGTCCCTCTGGAGAAAGTGCTCAGCCCAAGCATCATGGCCCTGTTGCCCACACTCTCCAGCTGTGGATTCCTGGAGCCGCTCCGGGACCAACCTGAGTGACAGGCTCTCCATGTCCCACTCAGTGAAGCCCGCTGCTGCTCCTGAGGACTCCCCGGCCGCAGGGTGAGCCCGCCCTCTTCCTCCCGGCCACCCCTGGTGTCAGCCTTCCAGGGGCAGGGCCCAGAGGGCTCATGGGGGTGATGCTTCTTCCAGGAAGGAAATGGAAAACAGGCTAAGATAGAGGGGTACCAAGACCTGTCCTCCCACCGGCTCTGCTTGCTTGGCAGCCCCACAGAATGTTCCTCCCCACGTTCCTTCCCCTGAACTGAGGGGCTTACTTTATAATCTGGTCAGGCACCGGCTTATTCTTGAACCTCGGGTGTTCATCCAAGACAGGCTGGACGGTGAAACACTGGATGTCTGCAATTCCTGGAGTTAAGAGCTCACAACGTGCTGGTCAGGGGTGGGGGGCAGTTCCAAGCACAGCAGGTCCCAGCTGAGACCCCCTGCCCCCCAGGACAGTCCTCTGGGGCCAAGTTTTTAACGAGTGACAAACTTCAAGATGCTAGGTCCCAGTGACCACTGAGCAGTCACCATGGTCCTTATCAGAGCTGCAACCCCGTCCGAGGGCTCGGCCTCTGCTCACAGTTGGTTAGTATTAATAGTCCTTAATGGCACCCCACTCCAGTACTATTGCCTGGAAAATCCCATGGATGGAGGAGCCTCGTAGGCTACAGTCCATGGGGTCACAAAGAGTCGGACACGACTGATTGAACTGAACTGAATCTTTGCTATACTATTATCATGAACAAGAGTAACACCTAATGCATTTATAGGTCTTGACTGATTGCAGACAATGTCTCCCCTTGGTCTCCTTTCATCTCTCTGGTTTCATTAACCAGTGCTGTTAACGTAAATTATACTTTCCAGAGAAAAGGGCATCAGGGTCAAAGAAGCTGAACAACATGGTGAAGGTCACACAGCTTGTGAGCACAGAGAAACAGTCTGTATTTGGGTCTGTAACCCTAAGCTCAGGGTTTGTTGCCTATAGTTGGGGCTCCCCTCTGAGCAGCAGCATCGCCATCTCCTGACGGCTTGTTAGAGCGGTGACTCCCAGGGCCCACCTAAGATCTAACGAGTCCCAGTCTGCGTTTTGTAGGATCCTCAGGTGATGCACACGCATGCTGCAGTTTGAGAAGCCCTGCTTTAGGGCAGGTGAATACATGCCATCTAGCACTCTGAGAGCAACTGCCTGGGGCAGGAATATAAGGCCATGTCCAAGTGCAGTGGGAAAGAGCTCCATGATTGATTAGTGATGCCTGCCATGGGCACAGGCTACACAAGAGTTACGACGTGTGCCAGACTTATGTCACACCTGCTCTAGACCTTTGTTCACTGTCAGTCAATAATGTGGCAAACCAAATAAACAAGGTCAGTCACCACTGGTCCCACCCCCGAACCTTACTTCCCTTCTCAGCTCCCGTGGCTTCCTTACCTTCCTCTCGTTTTCAGGTGCCCAGGTTCTCCTCCCTCTATTCTACCTGATGTCCACCTTAACTTGAAAATTCCTCCCTTGAGCCTGACATTTCTGTCAATTAAGAAATCGCAAACTCCTCTTGTTGGCATTCAAATATGCTACTATTGAATATGAACTATTCAAATATTACAATAGGATTCCAGCCCATTTCCCACCATTATTTCGGGTATGCAGATGATCCCGTTCCCTTCGCTTAGACTATTTCTGCATACCACCATGAAGCTCAGTCTACCCTCAGCCAGGTGCCCCCTTGCTTCCTGACCCTCCACGGCATCGCATCTGAACACAAAACTCTCGTCTCTCTGGCTCCCTGTCTCCTCCCTAGAGTCGTCTCCCCACCAGACTGGGAGCTTCCTGATTCAGGCGCTGGGACTCCTTCACACAAAAGAAATGGCCAAAACATAATTCCAAGCTAGATCCAATTCTCCCTCACTCAGTAAACTCACTCTACACTAACATGTCGGGGCTGTTAACTGTTTTACTGCTGAAGAGCACTTCCACATTCAATGAGCGTCCCTCAGAAAGAGACAGAGAGAAAGACAGAGGTAGAAAGAGATCAAGAGAGAGACAGAGGCAGAGACAATGAGAGAGGAGAGGCCAAGAACTAGTAACGCTTAGTACAAACGAGTAAGCCTTATTGGAAGAAGTCACATAATACTCAGGAAGACTAATTTCTATCTCAAGCTCTACAGCAGACAGCCTTCTCTGGGAGGGAATTCTTTCTGGATTAAGTCTAGGGCAGGAGTTGGCAACCTATAGCCCTCTGGTCAAATCCGGCTCACTGCCTGTTATTGTACGGCTCCCAGCTAAGAAGAGCTTTTATAGTTTCAATATTTGAAAAAAAGAGTCTTATGTGACATGTGATAACAATATTAAATTTTCAGTGTTCATAAATAAAGTTTTACTGGGACATAGCTACACCCATCCATTTATGGACTACCCATGGGGCGCCCCGAGTACAACAGAGGTGAGCAGCTGTGACAGAGACCAAAATGTGTCCCATCTGGCCCTTCATGGTAAGTCTGCCAAACCCTGTACTGAAGGAGGTTCTAAGCCACGTCAGCTACTTGGTCCTAGAGGAGAACCCAAACCTGTCCTGAAGAAGCCAGTGACATCACCCTCCAATCACATCCAGTAGGCTGCATGGCTGCACCCTCCCCCCATGTGTTAAACGGCAGAGGGGTGAGTGGGGAACAGGAGACACTCACTTACGAGAGCTTTGCTTTCAAGTGTCTTCCCCTACTCGGGTACCTATGTGAGAAGACACTGGATCTGTTACCTTTCCAAACTGCTTGTCATGCAACACAGGAAGGCAACAGAACACAGCGTTAAGAGCTCAGAGTTTGCAAACATCCGACGTGGGTTAACTCTTAGTTCCATCAATTTCTGAGAACTTGTGGAAGCTGTTTACATTTTTGAGCCTCATTCTTCTTATTTTTAAAATGCAGAGAGTAAGAATACCCAACTCATGGGATTATTATGAGGATAAAATTAAACAATGAATGAAAATGCCTGGCATGCCATCACTTTACAATAGTTAATAGAGAATACTGTTCATTAATCTTAAATGAAAACGATGGCATTATAGAAAGAATGCAGACTTTGAGGCAGACCTTGGAGTTCAAATCTCAACTCCATCATTAACTAGCTTTGTACTCTTAGGCAAACCACCTTACCTCTCTGCCTCATGTACTTCTCTATGAAATAGGGACAATTAATAACCACCTAATAGAGTTTTATTGGGATTGTTACTGTTGTTAGTCACTCAGTCATGTCCGATTCTTTTGTGACCCTATGGATTGTAGCCTGCCAGGCTCCTCTGTCCATGGGATTCTCCAGGCAAGAATCCTGGAGTGGGTTGCTATTTCCTTCTCCAGGGGCTATTCCAGACCCAGGGATCAAACATGAGTCTCCTACATTGTGGACAGATTTTTTTTTTATCACTGAGTCACCAGGGAAGTCTATATGGGGATTAGAAAAATCTAGTTACAAGACCTTCAGTCTTATGCATGGCATGAAGAGGACATTGAGCAAATGTCAGCCCTTTCCCTCTCCGCCTGACTCTTGGAGCTGAATCAGAGCTGCGTATGATGACACAGCCCAGTAACACACGCTTTCTCCTCCCAGCACGAGTTAAAAGGCCACATAGTTGTTCAATACCAGGACATCCACATAGCAGGGCCTTAGACTAATCCCATGTCTCGCCTGTAACCAAACTCACATGTGTAACCAGTCAGCTTTGCCACTGGTTACATTTCCTCCTGCAAATAACCACGGTAGAGCAGGCATGAAGGGCAGGCAGCATAATGAAAAGGTTACAGATGAATATGTATCACCCGAGGGGAATATGTTTGCATTAAGGTTCGGCAGACTTAGCAGACCAGCCGTGCAACCTGTCGGCCCCATTTTAAAGGCTGTAACTTAATTTGGGCTACAGGGCGCAACACGGGAGCTGGACTAGGTTCACGCAGCCCTTGCAGCATCAGCTCCTGACCTGGTGAACATTATGCTTCGCTGCACTGGAGCCTTGTTCCCACCAGACCTCCCCAGCCGCACTAGCACCATCTCCTGTCACTTCGACCTTCTGTGTGCCCCATCCATACCTCCCTCCCTCCTACCTTTCTCTAGCTCCCCTTCCTTTCCCCTCTCTCTTGTTTTCTTTCTCTTTCTGTTGGCCAGCAAGTGTTTTCTGAGAGCTGCCTTTGAGGATCACTGCAGCGAGCAAGAGTATGGGTCTCTGCCTTCCTGGAGCTTCTGTGCTAGTTCTATCTTTTTTTTTTTTAATCCTTTTTATTGTAGAAAAGACCCTGATGCTGGGAAAGATTGAAGGCAGGAGGAGAAGGGGATGACAGACGGTGGGATGGTTGGATGGCACCACTGACTCAATGGACATGACTTTGAGCAAACTCTGGGAGATGGTGAGGACAGGGAAGCCTGGAGTGCCACAGTCCATGGGGTCGCAGAGACAGACATGACTGAGCAACTGAGCAACAACTGTGGTAAAAGTCACATAATGAAACCACGATGTTTACCCATGTTTAACTCCACAGCTCAGGGGCACCAAGTGCATTCACACTGCTGTGTGACTCTCAGCACCACCCACCTCCCGAACCTTCCACCTTCCTCAACAGAAACTCTGCCCGCATTAAACACCAAGTCCCCACTGTGCATGCGTGTGTGCACGCCAAGTCACGTCGGTCATGTCTGACTCTCTGTGACCCTGTGGACTGCAACCTACCCGGCTCCTCTGTCCATGGGATTCTCCAGGCAAGAACACTATAGTGGGTTGCCATGCCCTCCTCCAGGGGATTTTCCCAACCTAGAGACTGAACCCACATCTCCTGTGGTTCCTGCATTGCAGGTGGATTCTTTACCATTGGGCCACTGGGGAAGCCCAAGTCCGCATCGCCCCTCCCCAAACCCCACTCCCTGGCCCCGGCATCTACCAATATACTTTTTGACTTTATGAATTTGACTATTCTAGGTATCTCGTATAAGTGGAATCAAACAGCATTTGTCTGCACCTACTGTATATTGGAATTTATTTTTAATGTTAACTTGATATATATCCTGGACTTCCCAGGTAGCACAGTGGTAAAGAATCTGCCTGCCAGTGCAGGGAGATGCAAGAGACACGGGTTCAATCCCTGGGTTGGGAAGATCTTCTGGAGGGGGAAATGGCAACCGACTCTAGTATTCTTGCCTGGAAAATTCTAAGGACAGAGGAACCTGGTGGGCTTTGGGGTCACAGAGAGTTGGACACTTCTGAGCACACACGTATACAGCATACGCCCTATGAACAGATTGCACCTTCTTGTTTTTTTTTCTTTCCGTGGTATTCAGTTGACATATGTACACTACGATGTATGAAGTAGTTTTACACTTGAAATCACAAAAGATAATGACAGATTGAGATCAGGTTGCTAAACAAAAACAAACAGGGGTTGAGACAGCAGAGTACTGAAGTCTTCCAATAAGGTGACCAAGGAATGCCTCTTCTGGGAGGTGACCCTGAGTTAGGATTTGATGGGTGAGAAAGGAGCTGAGGGAAAGGCATTCCAAGCAAAGAGAAGAGAAAACACATAGGCGCAGAGGCAAGAACAAGCTGGGCATGTTTAAGGAGCAGAAACAAGATCCGTGCGGCAGAGAAGCATGAGAAAGGGAAGGAAAAGTTGGGGGCAAGTGATGTTGGAGACACAGGCAGGGGCCAGAGGAAGGGTAGCCTTGCAGGCTTGTTCAGGAGTTCTGATTTTGCTATAAGAGCAATGTGGCACCATTTCAGTTCTTGGAACCTCAGGGCCTTTGCACACGATGCTCCTTCCCTCTGTCTAGGACATTTCCCACCTCATCACCCACCTTCAACATCACCTTCCTCAAAGAAGACTTCCCTTCCCTCCCAATCATGGTAACCAGCAGGGCTTTCTTATAGCACTGATCACATTTTTACAAATACCTATTCAATGATGCTGTAAATGTCTTTCACTTGCTAGACTGGAAGCTCCCTGAAGGTAGGACCACTTTGTGAGTGTAATTTCTGGTTCCCTGTACAAGGAAATGCTTGGAAGAGTCAGAGCTTGATGGTAATCATCACAAAGAAAGAAGGAATGAGTGAGTAAGTGAATTTATCAATGAATGCAACATTTAGTTTCCTGAGATGGGTTCTTTTTGGATCCCGCACTGGACACTGAAATTGGCACCACTGCAGTGATTCTGGCAGCAGTTCCCAGCTCTAGGAAAGGGCTCTGTGGATTGAAGTCCTGGCAGGGCTGCCCATGCCCGGCCCTTGGCAGGGGCATTTGTTAAGGATACACTGGCCTGGGGCGTTCTTCACATCATCCCCAGGAGCAGAGGTTGTGTTCATCTTCTCTGCATTGGGGAACTGGCTCATCAGCTGCATCTGGAAATCTTCTCTTCGCTCATACTCCTTCCCTCGGTAGATGAACACTTTGTTCTGCAGAGAAAGGACATCTGTCAGAGATCCCAGGGCCCAGGCTTGGAGGAGACGGTTCAAGCCAAGCTGGGAGGCTGGTCAGGAGCACTGGCCTGTGGTGACAGCCTAGAGATCTCTCCACTCTCTGTCTCCCCTCCAGGGAAAGGATGGAACCTCAGCTCACACACTTCTAGCTGGGCACACCACTTTTTTTAAAGGACTGGTTCTAAAGGGAGAAGAGATCATGGATGCTGAGAACATTTTCTTCAAACCATCCCATGTGCAGCCTCCAGGGAAATTCCTCACTCCACTTTCACACCCACTCTCCCATCGACATGGCCACAGTTTCCCTCCTGCCTTTCATGGACTATATGGGCTGAACCTGTGAGCTGGAAGGGACCAGCATGCGGGTTCTTCATCACCAGGCCTCATGGAAGCACACTTTATCCTTCCCTGATGCGTAAACTTCTTCTAGACCAATACTTTTTAAACAGGCAGTGATTTGCCTCTTAAGGGATGCTAGTTGTGTCTGGAAACAGTTTTGATTGTCACAACTCCAAGGAAGAGCACTCCTGGGACCTAGTGGGCAAGAATCCTTCAATGCACAGGATCGGCCCATAGCTGAGCATTATCTAGTCTAAAATATCTACACAGTTGAGGTTGAGAAACCCTGTTCTAGACCCTATCTGTGCCACTGTGCTGCCTCTAATGATCTCTAAGCTCTTCTGTCCAAAGCCATGCCTGTATCAATGCTTCCAAACCTGGATCCTCATTTCAGGCTTTCCTGATAGCTCAGTTGGTAAAGAATCTGCCTGCAATGCAGGAGAGCCCAGTTCAATTCCTGGGTCAGGAAGATCCACTGGAGAAGGGATTGGCTACCCACTCCAGTTTTCTTGGGCTTCCCTGTGGCTCAGCTGGTAAAGAATCTACCTGCAATGCCTGGGTTTGATTCCTGGGTTGGAAAGATTCCCTGGAGAATGAAATGGCAACCCATTCCAGTATTCTTGCTTGGGAAATCCCATGGACAGGAGCCTGCTGGACTATAGTCCATAGGGTTGCAAAGAGTTGAGCATGACTGAAGCAACTTCAAGTCAAGTCAGGATGGGTTTATTCTTGTTATATTTAAATAAGTTGTTTACCCTTCATATTCTGTTAACCCTCCATCAGTTCAGTTCAGTTCAGCTGCTCAGTCTTGTCTGACTCTTTGTGATCACATGAACCGCAGCATGCCAGGCCTCCCTGTCCATCACCAACTCCCAGAGTTCACCCAAATCCATGTCCATTGAGTTGGTGATGCCATCCAACCATCTCATCCTCTGTCGTCCCCTTCTCCTCCTGCCCTCAATCTTTCCCAGCATCAGGGTCTTTTCCAATGAGTCAGCTCTTCGCATCAGGTGGCCAAAGTANTCTGTTGTTCCATGTCCAGTTCTAACTGTTGCTTCCTGACCTGCATACAGGTTTCTCAAGAGGCAGGTCAGGTGGTCTGGTATTCCCATATCTTTCAGTAGTTTCCACAGTCTATTGTGATCCACACAGTCAAAGGCTTTGGCATAGTCAATAAAGCAGAAATAGATGTTTTTCTGGAACTCTCTTGCTTTTTCGATGAACCCTCCATAACTAGTACTAAATAGTTAACCTTTCATATCCTCAGGATCTTATTCCATGGATTCAACCAATCATGATTCAAAAATATTTGAAAAAAAAAATCTAGAAACTCCCAAAAAGCAAAACTTGAGTATGCTGCATTCTAGCAACTATTTACATAGCATTTACATTGTACTTAGTATTATAAGTAATCTAGAGGTGATTTGAACCATTTAGGAGATTATATGCAAACACTATACCATTTTATATAAAAGACTTGAGGATCCTCAGGTGTTATTCTCCCCACAGGGTCTTGAAACCAATTCCTGGTAAGTACGAGGGGACAACAGCATTTTAAAACTGTCTCAGTTTTAATTCTGGGTGTCATAAATGCAGATAGATAAAGTCTAAAAATACAGAAGTTCTCTGGGGACCCTGATCATATTTTTAAGAGGCAAAATGGCCCTGAGACCAAAAGGTCTGAGAACTTGTGCAATACAGTTCCCGCTGGGCAGCAGAGCTCCCCCGGCCTCTCCAAGAACCTCGTCCCTGGGATGGTGTGCTCACTGCCTCACTAGACAGCCAAGGCCGCCGTGTATGTAAGGAAACACAGCAGGTGGCTGAGGAGCTGTTCATGGAGGGCGACTGGGGAAATGCAGGCGAAGGGGACAGCACGTGGACACCAGAGGGTTAGGGTTAGGGATCTGAGGGTTGGGATCTGAGCTCAAGCAGAGCCTCAAAGAAGAGGGAGAGCCGAGAGGCCAGGGCCCCGGGACCCTGGCCTGTGTCCGCGCCACCCACAGACTTACCCGGAGGAACGAGGGGAAACCCTGGCCGTAGTACCCAACAGCAAAGTAGTCTGGCTTCGGTCTGAGGATTTTCATGATGTTTTCATAGAATTTTGCCTGCTGGATCTGAAAGAAGAGAACTCATAGCTTGTAACGACACAGATGTGTATTAAAGGCACATTCAGCTCCGAGGGGTTAAGACGTGATCATGACACCAGAACAAATGTGCCAAGTGCACATATTTGCATATTCACAGAACTGTCTGTCATCATAATAGTGATATATTTACAATATACCAGATACCCTGTTAATCATCCTACCTACAGTAACATGCGTACTTGCATCACCCTCATAACAATCCCAAGGAAGTGTATCTCTGCTTTGCCGATAAGGAAGTGGTATCTCAGGGCATCCAGTAAGTAGGGAACTGAGCCTTGCTGGCTGTTCAGAGCCGCTCCAGCATCATGACTCTGCTCCCAGCGGGAGTGTGTCTGGGGCGGTCTATAGATGGGGAAGTGTTTCTGGATATGGATCTCTTCCTGTGTAGGCACACCCAACGTACTTCACCAGTTCCAAGAGGTGCGTGCTTTTATATTTTAACATCTTTGAAAAGAGTTTGTGTTTTACTTTACACCTAATGGCATCTTCCAATCACCATTAACTGGAGAGAAATCATGATGGGGCACGTAGAATAGAATGGTGCGCTCACAGATGACAGCATTTCACACTGAACACAATATGGAAGATAAATGTGTGTGGCCCTGGATGTGAACCTGTGTGATGTGGGCTGATGTGGGCCTGGTGCACAGCCGTACACGTCCACTAGTGGATGTGTGAATGTATACTGGCTGTGTGTGCATGCATGGTTGTGCATGGGTGGTGGTAGTGATGGTCTAGTCCGTAACACAGGAAATATGTAGTTGTTAGTACAGATTATTTGTTTGTTTTAGTTGCTAAGTTGTGTCCAACTCTTCTGCGATTCCCATGGACTGTAGCCCGCCACGTTCCTCTGTCCATGGCATTCTCGGGGCAACAATATTCAAGTAGGTTGCCATTTCCTATTTCAGGCTCTATAGGTGTGTGTGTGTATGTATGCATATGTACTGCATACATTAGAAAGCATGTGTCCCTCCATACCTGCAAACATCTGTGTGGGCAGACTCAGGCAGACTCTTGGTGCAAGTGGTGTGTGTGTTGACATCATAACCAAGAACACTATATTCCATACTCATCCCCCCGCCAGAACAAGCTATCAATCCTTTTCTAGCACTTTGACCCTCATTTCACAGTTCCCTACAAAGAGGTGGACTGACTAACCTCTCGAAATGCGCTCAGATGGATGGGGCCCTGGAGTCCTGGGTCTCAGGCCACCAGGACATCGGTGTGGGGAGAGCAGCCTGGGCCACCTCCCCACCAGCCTGGGTCTCTGCTTCCCCCTACTTCCCACTTTCCCCTCCAAATCACAAGCTTTGAGGAGCTAATGGGAATGGCCAGATGGGGAGCACTTTAATGTGATTTATCTGTTAATCAGAAAGCACGAATTTGCTTTTTTATCTAATTGATTTAGTGATTTGTGCGAATTTCACAGCAAATGCGGCACAGTGCTTATTGGGTGTGCACCAGCGGCGGTAGCCCCAGCACCGGGCAGGTACTTAGCACTCCATACGAGAAACTGTGCCTGATGAGCTTTCCCAGAAGACCTCCCTTTGGAAATATTCCCAGTTGGGAGGGAGATGCTCAGCACAGTTTGGCTCAGCTCAGCCCAACTTCAGTTCCTTTCCCGGTATCCTAACCCCACATGGCCTCCTGCCTTGGCTCCCCCTCTCCCCAGCCTCTCTGCCCAGCCAAGGCCCCAGCACCCAACCTCCAGGGCAGTCAGCTCCCCCTGGAGACTCCTTACCAAGTTCTGGCTCAGCAGCTCATAGTCAAAGATTTCCATCTCATACTGTTCTGCCAACTCCTTGCACAGACTGATGGCCTCTTCCCACATCTACAAGGAAGGTCACGGAGACAAAGGTTAGAAGGGCCTCCCAGGCTTACAGAGCCGTTGCTGAGGAAGGCACTGGGGCAGCTCCACACCTGGGACTGAGCCACAAGCCTCCCTGTAGCCCGGCCCCAGCCCCGGCCCCATACCCAGGGAACCAAATGCATCCCAAGAAGCAGGCCTATCCTCTGCTTCTCACCCTGGTTTCCTGATAAATAATGGAACACCCACACACTAGGCTAAGTGCTTCATTTACATGCTCTCTGGATCTTCACAACCCCTCTGAGAGGTGACTAGCGGCACCTGCATTTTCCAGGTGAGAAACAGAGGTTCAGACCGGCAGAGCATCCACCCCAGGTCAAAGCCCTAGCCTAAAGCAGGGTCAGGAAGTGCACTTGAGAATGACCCTTGACCTTATGCTAAGCTTTGGTGGGCCAAACTGAGGAAGGAGCATTGACAAACATATACACTACCGTGTGTAAACTAGGGAGCCAGTGGGCAGCTGCTACACAGCACAGGGGGCCCGGTCCAGGGCTCTGTGATGACCGAGAGGGGTGCGATGGCAGGAGGGGACGGAGACTCGGGAGGCAGGGGTATACGTGGTGTGTGCACGACGGGTTCACGCTGTTGTGCAGCAGAAACCAGCACAGCGCTGTAAACACTGCGCAGCAACTTTCCTCCAGTTAAAAAACAAACCCCCTCCCTTAGAAAGGGAACGTGCCAGTCCCTCAATCACGTCCAACTCTTTGCAACCCCACGGACCATAGCCCACCACACTCCTCTGTCTGTGGGATTCTCCAGGCAAGAATACTAGATTGGATAGCCATTCCCTTCTCCAGGGGATCTTCCTGATCCGGTGATCAGAGCTGGGCCTCCTGCATTGCAGATGGATCTTTACTATCTGAGCCACCAGAGATTTCCCAGAGAAAAATGGTTCACAAAGAAAATAAGCAGGCAGCGAATTTCTGAGGATAGAGCTGGAGCCAGATTTAGTTCTCTTGATGTTTGCTACTGGGATCTTTTCACTCTGCCAATCCCATCACTTTCTTTTTCCCTTTGGCCAACTTTCCTCCCTTCCTCCCTTCCACCCTTCTCTTTCTCTCACTTTAAAAAACAAATGTGGTAAGAACACTTAACCTGAGATCTACCCACTTAACAGGTTTTTAAATGCATAACACAGAATTGTTAACTATAGGCCCAATGTTGTACAGAGATGTCTAGAATTTACTCATCTTGCATAAATAAACCTTTATACCATCACTTCTTAACTACAGTATTTAGGGTGAGTGAGCAATGGGCGGCGTGGGGGTGGAGGAGGTAGTAGAGTATTTAAAAGAGTGATGAAAACTTTTTTTAAACAGGTCTTTTGCATCTTTAAAAAAATTCTGAAAAAAATCCTCTGGACAGAGGGGGTCATTTCCATCTGTTCCATTTTAATTGAAACCAATAGATCATCCTTCCATCCTAGATCAAAGGGGTCAGGAACCTCTACAGAGAGGCAGAGGGAGGTGCTGGGTGGGCTGGAGATCTGGCGATCTCAAGGGACACCCATTACATTTTAAATTTGGTTTCAAATGGAAGATGCACCTAAATGGAGAAGTTGGGGGAGGAGGGGGAGGAGAGGGGGAGGTTGCCAAAATGCAGTGTGTGCTTTGTCGCAGAAGTGCTCTCTCTGCATCCAAGCATAAAAATAAATAAAAGCAAGTGCTGAGTGGAGGAGCCACGGCTGTAAACCCATGGACAGCTTAGTGAGCAGCATAAAAATGTTTTACATGCCAGGAGGAATCAAGTCCACAGATGAGTATGGGCTGGTTCTTTCTCCTTAGCCCGAATGAGAAGATGCAGTTAAAGCCCCGGGACTGGGCCAGGGGGCTGTTTGACTCAAGTGGAGGTCTTTGCCAACTTTCCACCATACTATGCCAGAAGTACTCCCCTATGTGTTAAGGGATCAGTGAGGGGCTAAGAAGAGAGACAGGCAGGGAGTCAAATGCCTGGAATGTCCTTCAGGTCTGCCTGCGTGGTCACTGGGACCTCTGCCGGTCACTGATCCCTGAGCCTCTTACACTGGTTACTGAGTACCTGCTGGCTGCTGGGCATGGTACACAGGGATGGGACAGTGATAAAAATGGACAAGACAGTCTCTGCTTTCATGAAATAGGAGTGGGTAAAGCGTACACATAAACAGATGTACTAGTTGGGTTTGAGGGATGTGGAGGAGTCCATCAGGTAATGACAAGAGGACTTAAGGGGTAGAAAGTCATTCCGTGTGTCTAGATCAAAAGTCTCCATGAGGGGAGGTATGGGGAGAGGAAGTCAAAGGGATGCTGAAGAGTCTGGGCTTCACTCTAGAAGCCCCCACAGCGGAGGCACTAGAGGGAGCTACCCCCATCCACTCCCTCCTCTCTGCCCGTGAAGCGCTTTAGTGGCGCCCTGTTCCCGCCCTCCTCCTCCCCATTATCGCACAACACCAAGGGGTTACGTGCAAAAAAAAAAGGTGATGACCCGTCTGTGGGCTTTGCTGACTAGTAACATGCCCCTTAGTACCCGGGCTTACGCCTTTTTCCTCTCTGCTCAGCGAAGGGTTGGCTGAGTCGGATACGGGCAGAGGACAAGGCCTGACAGGTCCTCTCAGGGTTTTTCCACTGTGACGGACTTAATCAGCCGATAAACCAAGAGTGAGCTCAGACTCGACGTCCAGCAGGACAGGAGGCTCCAGAGAGGGCCGAGTCTCTGCCCTCAAGAGGCTTAGGACCATAAATTATAAACACAGTCTTCTCCAACCCACTCAACGCCTGGGAATTTATAAACCCTTCCACAGACATTACCTCATTTCATTTTTTCAGGGAAGGTGGAGAGATCACACTAAGACAGATGCAATGAACTGCAGTGACAGAACAGGCCAAAAGTAAGTGTTAAATTGTGCCTGATGAACTGTAAGAGGCCTGGCCATTCAGAGGAGAGGCAGGGCTGTAGGTAAGTTGGAGGACTCAGGGAAAGCTTGTGAGAGGAAGCAGGCAGTCAGATGGTGCCTCAAGGGCAGAGAACTGAGTTTGCACACTGCAACTAAGGGTCCGCACGTCACAATTAAAAAAAAAAAATCCTGCATGCTGCTACTAAGACCTGGCACAGACAAATAAATAAATGTGCTCATGCTCAGTCATGTCCGACTCTTTGGGACCCCATGGACCGAAGCCCACTAGGCTCCTCTGTCCATGGGATTCTCCAGGCAAGAACACTTGAGTGGATAGCCATTCTCTTCTCCAGGGGAGCTTCCCGACCCATGGATCAAACCTGGGTCCCTTGCATTGCAGGTGGATTCTTCACCATTTGAACCACCAGAGAAGCCCTTAAAAAATAAATATTTTAAAATATTTAAAAAAACTGAACAAGTTAGTAGTATGTACCAGGTCTTATAGAGAAGGCAATGGCACCCCACTCCAGTACTCTTGCCTGGAAAATCCCATGGACGGAGGAGCCTGGTAGTCATGGGGTCAGTCCATGGGGTCGCAAAGAGTCAGACATGACTGAGCGACTTCACTTTCACTTTTCACTTTTATGCATTGGAGAAGGAAACAGCAACCCACTCCAGTGTTCTTGCCTGGAGAATCCCAGGGATGGGGTTGCGCTGAAGTGACTTAGCAGACATGACTGAAGTGACTTAGCAGTAGCAGCACCAGGTCTTATGCTAAGTGCTTTATATCATTTTCTCACCTAATTGTCACAGTGCAGCTAGAAAGTAGGTACTATCAATATCTCACTATTATGGATGGGGAATTGGAATCTCTGAAAAGCCATGGGGATTGTAGGCGGTAAAGGAATGAGGCTTGAAACCCAGATTCTGAGCTCTTAGCCACCTACTATGTCTCCTCCAGCATTTGAGCTGGTGCTTCCTAAAGGGTCAGTTGGAGGCTGGAGGATGGACAGTAACTGGTTTGGCCAATCTCCAGACAAAACATGACAAATCACCCTGTTCTTGCTGTTTAGAGATCAATGATGACACTATGATGTCATTCATACATTCAATTAATTCATTTATTCAACATATATCTTTTGGGTCCCATACGTTAGGGTCTGTGCTAGCTACTAGGCACTTGGCAATGGACAAGACAAATATCTATGCTCTTGGCCTTCTAAAGTGGACAGCCAGACAATGAACAAGTGAAAACAAAGTGATCCAGGTGATGTCTGACAGTGGTAAGTGCTTTGAAGAAGAAATGAGTATGACTCACAGCAGGGGTACTGCTGTGTGTGGTCTGGGAAGGCCTCCTTCAGGACATGACATTCTTTGCTTGGGCAAAAGCCTGAGCTGTGAGAAGGAACTGGCCATGGTAAGATATGGAAGAGAAATGTCCTAAGCTGGGAAAAGCAAGTGCATAGGCCCTGAGGTGGAGAAGAGCTTGGCACAGAATTTGCGAGCAAGAGGGAGCCTGGCAGAGCTGACACGGGAGAGGTAATCAGAGGACAGTCACATACGAGGGAAAGATTTTAATTTGATCTAAGCGTTGGGATGGCTGTTTGAGATGACTGTAAGCAGGACAAAGGGATATATTCTATGGGATAAGTATGTTCTATGATCACCATTTTCTATATGAAGGATGACCTGTTGCAGGGGAATAGAGGATACAGGGCTATTGCATAGGACTCAATGTGTCCAGGTGAGCCATGCTGGTACCTTGTACATATGTAGTAGGAATGGGGATGGAGAGAAATGATCAGACTTAGGGCTGGGCAGGAGAGCTGACCAGACCTGCAGATGGGTTACATGTAGAGTATGGGACAGAACAGTCCTTCCCAGTAGCTCGGGTTCCCACGGAGAGAGGAAGGGCAGCGACCAATTACCTTTCCTTTGTCAAAGTAGCCTATGATGATATCATAGAGTGTCTCCTTCAGCTGCCGGTGGGTCTGCGGGTGCTGCTGGCCTGTCTGCATGACCTGCGATGCACACTGCTCATCTGACCACTGCAGAGAGAGGACACACAGTCACCGGGGGCAGGTGTCTCCCTTACTGCCGAGGAGTGGGAGGAGGCCCTGCAGACACCCCCGCCTGTGTCCTCGCTGCCCTGCGTGTCAATCAGAGAGACGATCTTGGCCTGCAGTTTCCACAGGAAGCACCTCTCCATTTCTGTGGATTCACTCTTATCGACTCTCTGGGCATTCTGTTGGTTCCTGTGTTTGGATTGTAGGATTTTCCTCTGAATTCCTGCAAGACATGGCCCCAGCTCTTCAAAACCCAAAGGAAATCCTTGAGACTTTGTCCTGCTCCAGCAGCACTTTCAAGAGAAGGAAAACAGCTCACAGGGCATGCTAATGATTTATAGTTGATGCTTGGATGTTATATAAAACAGTTTGAATGTTATGTAAAACTTCAAGATACATCTCAGGGGGTTGTTGTTGCTGCTAAATGCGAAGGTCACTTGAAACCTTATGTGACCAGATAGAGCAGTGCAGAAAAGTAACCTGCCAGGTTTAAAGTCTGGGGACACAGGGCAAAACAAACTTTATTTGGCTAATTTTTCTTTTCTTTTTTTTAAACTTTTCAACTTGCTGTGAGGGCTCCACGGGAATTTCAGCATGAACCCCCTTCACTGGGAGGGCAGTACCTTGAGAAGCCAGGTGTGGAGAAGGAGTGTATAGGCAGCCTCTGTGTAGTTGTCACAGTCCAGGTGAAGGTCACGGAGTTTGTACAGGTACCTGTTTGGGAAATATGTTAGATCACCAGATGCAGTAATAAGAATGCAGGTGGTAGGGCCAGGCCAGAGAGAGCAGCTGGATACCTCTTGGATTCACAAGGGAGTCCCCGACATTCAGTCCCCTGCATGAGTGACAGCGATAGCACCTAGAAGTTGGGGGACATTGAGGGTCTGACAGGGACCATGCCAAGTATTTAAGTGCCTCTGACCATGTAAGCTCCCTGACACTACCATAAAATGGGTCCACTGCGAATTTTCATTTACAGATAAGAAAGCTCTGGCCTGGAGAAGTTAGGTATCATTCCAGCCAGTATTCAACTTCATACTGAAGACTCTGGCCAACGCAATATGACAAGTAAGGGAAATCAAGGAAGGAGAAGTAAATGGCTTGTTGGAGATCATGTGCTAATGAATGGACTGGAATATGATCCTAGTTTAACGGCCTTCAGAGACTATACTCTAATCATTGTACAACTCCAAGGGCATGGGCAAGTCATAGCACTGTAAAGGGGAACCTCTACCCTCTCTTCAATGCTCTCAAGGTGTAAAGGAAGTGAAATTTCTTATAAGTAAAGAAAGGGGTTAGAAATTAGACATTCAGGTGGAGGCATGGGGCTGTCAGCAGAAAGAATCTACAATTCAACTGTAATGACATTCCCATCTCCTACCCTTCTGCAATGTGATGATCTAGTTCTGAACCCTAGGATGACTAGGGCTGAAAGATGTTAAGAACAGGACAGGATCAGAGTAAGGGAATGTCAATCAATTATTTGATACATAATATGTATTACGTGAATCAACTTCTCTGTGCCTTAGTTTGCTCATGTGTAAAATGGTGGTGCTCACAGAACCTACCTATAGAGTTTCTGGGCCTACAAAGGGCCAAACAGACCCTGTAGGAAAGGCTCTGGGAATGACAGCCAGCATTGCTACTAATAAATGCCAGTGGATGTTATATAAAACAGTTTGAATGTTATGTAAAACTTCAAGATACATCTCAGGGGGTTGTTGTTGCTGCTAAATGCGAAGGTCACTTGAAACCTTATGTGACCAGATAGAGCAGTGCAGAAAAGTAACCTGCCAGGTTTAAAGTCTGGGGACACAGGGCAAAACAAAATTTATTTGGCTAATTTTTCTTTTCTTTTTTTTAAACTTTTCAACTTGCTGTGAGGGCTCCACGGGAATTTCAGCATGAACCCCCTTCACTGGGAGGGCAGTACCTTGAGAAGCCAGGTGTGGAGAAGGAGTGTATAGGCAGCCTCTGTGTAGTTGTCACAGTCCAGGTGAAGGTCACGGAGTTTGTACAGGTACCTGTTTGGGAAATATGTTAGATCACCAGATGCAGTAATAAGAATGCAGGTGGTAGGGCCAGGCCAGAGAGAGCAGCTGGATACCTCTTGGATTCACAAGGGAGTCCCCGACATTCAGTCCCCTGCATGAGTGACAGCGATAGCACCTAGAAGTTGGGGGACATTGAGGGTCTGACAGGGACCATGCCAAGTATTTAAGTGCCTCTGATCATGTAAGCTCCCTGACACTACCATAAAATGGGTCCACTGCGAATTTTCATTTACAGATAAGAAAGCTCTGGCCTGGAGAAGTTAGGTATCATTCCAGCCAGTATTCAACTTCATACTGAAGACTCTGGCCAACGCAATATGACAAGTAAGGGAAATCAAGGAAGGAGAAGTAAATGGCTTGTTGGAGATCATGTGCTAATGAATGGACTGGAATATGATCCTAGTTTAACGGCCTTCAGAGACTATACTCTAATCATTGTACAACTCCAAGGGCATGGGCAAGTCATAGCACTGTAAAGGGGAACCTCTACCCTCTCTTCAATGCTCTCAAGGTGTAAAGGAAGTGAAATTTCTGATAAGTAAAGAAAGGGGTTAGAAATTAGACATTCAGGTGGAGGCATGGGGCTGTCAGCAGAAAGAATCTACAATTCAACTGTAATGACATTCCCATCTCCTACCCTTCTGCAATGTGATGATCTAGTTCTGAACCCTAGGATGACTAGGGCTGAAAGATGTTAAGAACAGGACAGGATCAGAGTAAGGGAGTGTCAATCAATTATTTGATACATAATGTGTATTAAGTGAATCAACTTCTCTGTGCCTTAGTTTGCTCATGTGTAAAATGGTGGTGCTCACAGAACCTACCTATAGAGTTTCTGGGCCTACAAAGGGCCAAACAGACCCTGTAGGAAAGGCTCTGGGAATGACAGCCAGCATTGCTACTAATAAATGCCAGTATCCACTGGAAGTGATTAGCCCGTAGCCAGCATTGAGCAGTGACAGCTATTATCTATTATCATTGTGCATCAGGTACTTCTACAAAACATTCTCTCCTGCCACTGTTGGAAACAGAATCCAGAGCCAAAAAGCCTCTGCTTTGGTGACTTGCATGTCATCAGGAGTATTTTTTAAGCCCGACTCTTAGTAATTTGGTGAAGGGAAGATGCTGTGTCGCGATGCCCTTGATCCTTCCTCTGAGAGGAAACGCACTATCTGTAATGGTGCCAAAATTCTGCCTTGGCTATCTAACTACAGGGAACAAAGGGTTTCTCAAGCATCTGCACTCAAATCAGGTCTCAATGCTCAGGATTAGACTTCCTGTTATAAGAAAATTTTCTGCACAGAATGTCACCCGAGGAGGAGCTAGGGTTTAACGTCCTTGGCTACATAAAGCATGGCCAGTGGGCCAAACAGAGGCTGCCTGAACTCAGGGTGGGGACTGCCAAAGATTCTGAAGGGGAGAAAGGGCAACTAGTGGTTTCTGATACCAATGAGCGAGTGACCTTTTGCTCATTTATTTATTCCATCAGCAAAGTTGAACTGAGCACACGGGCTGTGCCAGGCATGAGAGATAAATGGTGGCAAAAGCAGACCCCATTCATTCTCAGAGGTTAGCATTTATAATTTAGGAGAAGAGACAGGCATTGACTAAATAACCAAAGAGGTAATTGCAAAAATACAATTGTGACCAATGCTGGAAGGAGAGGTCTACAGTTACTATGAGAGCAGGTGTCATCCAGGTGGGGCTTCTGGAAAGTTTTCCCGAGTATGACACCTGGGTTGGGATCTGAGGATAAGAGGACAAATGGCGGGGGTGGGGGGGCATTCCAGAGAGATAGTACATCCATCCCTTCCACTAATGGGTGCTTTATATATAACATCAATTCATCCTCTCAACAATTTTTCTTTAGATAAGAAAACTGAGACAGACATTAAAGTAGATAGAACTAGAAATAGGTAGAAGCAGGTTTTGACACCAGCTGTTTCTGCCTTTACAATCACTCTTTCCCACTTAACTTTCTGCTGATCAACAAGCTATTGTGAATGTGCAGTGCATGCAGCCTGCACGTAAGGAATGTGGAGCTGTGGTCAGCTTTTAGAAACCCCTGTGTCCACAGTCACACCCTATCCTGTGTCTACCTGCTTGTGCTTGGTCTGTGACCCCTGATGACTGGGTCCAAAAATCTTGAGGAAACTGGTCCGAGGGAGAGCTTCTCTGCTGCTTTCAGCTCCTTAACTGACCGAGATACTCCCTATCCTTTGTCAACTCAAGGGATCAGTGATCAACCACAGAGCGCAATGCAAGACACTCTGATGGGCCTGAGTTGGAGGGGGTGGGGGATCCAAATGCAAACAGATGGCAGAGGGGCAGCTTGAGTGAGGTGGAGGGGATGAAGTCTGCTGGGGAATGGAGGCCATGGGACGCTGTGGCCAGATCACGCCTGTCCCGTCCACAATGCTCCCACCTACCTAGGCGGTGGGCGTCAGGATGTGAGGGCCCTGTGTTGCCATACCTGTCAAGTTTTTCAGAAGAGGGAAATTTTGACTTTTATGTAACATCTCTAGATTTTTAAAATTTGGCAACCAATTAAAAATGTTTTTAAATACTATGCCTGCCAAACAGGACAGATTTTCAGACTATATCTTATTTATAATGTCTGGTTTAGGCAAATATGGTTTTCCTAGATTACTATAGGATTCACATCTATAAAGCTTATGGAAATCTGGGATTCTCCATCTGTGTTTCTAAAATGGGAAGAAACGAAAAGAGATTGGGGAGGGAATCAAGTGCCAGGCACTTTACCTGTAGCATCTCATTTAATCCTCAGAACAGAATGGAAAAATTCTACATGGGTAACCCTAGCCCAAACACATGGAATGATTTTTCCAAGGTGGCAGAGGATAACAAGTAAAGCCCCAGGTCCTTTGGACCCAAAGCACTGACACTGAGTCATGTCTATTGATGTTATAAATACTACCCAAGCTCAGGACAATCCATGGAATTATCTTTTTTCCAAAAGATAGTTCCTATTTCTGGAATAATGCTTAAGTACCTAAAAATATTTGCAGTAATAGCAGAGTGAGTTTGAACATGGAGTCTCTGGTCTTCAGCAGAATGTGTCAAAAACCTCAAAAGGGCCTTGGCGTTAATCGTACAGTCAGTTCCATGCCGCAGGCCTTTGTCTCACAAGGAGATGCATAAAGATATATCTCCAAGAATTTTGCCATTGTGATATTTATGATAAAAAAAATTGGAAACAACCTAAGTGTTCAACAATATAGGACTGGTTATATAAATTATGGTATATTCTGGAATGAGAATTTTATAGTTTCATTAAAAATTATGTTGAAGTACATCTGTTGACATAGAATTCTTGTCAAGCAAAGAATAAATTATGAGCAATATGATCCCATTTTTTCCAAAAAATAGGCATGTACAGAATTTGATCTGTATATAAATATTAAACGGTCTGGGAATATGTATAGATTATGGTTATTTAAAAAGAGTTTTGTTAACAGAAAAAGAGACTCAGATGTATAGAACAGACTTGTGGACTCTGGGAGAAGGCGAGGGTGGGATGTTTCAAGAGAACAGCATCGAAACATTTATATTATCTAGGGCGAAACAGATCACCAGCCCAGGTTGGGTGCAGGAGACAAGTGCTCGGGCCTGGCGCACTGGGAAGACCCAGAGGGATCCGGTGGAGAGGGAGGTGGGAGGGAGGACCGGGATGGGGAATACATGTAAATCCATGGCTAATTCATTTCAATGTATGACAAAAACCACTGCAATGATGTAAAGTAATTAGCCTCCAACTAATAAAAATAAATGGAAAAAATTAAAAAAGAAAAAAAATAATAAAATTTAAAAAAAAAACTAAAAAAAAAAAGAGTTTTGTTTTGCCTCTCCATATTTTATGAGGATTTTGGGGGTAATAACTATGCATTATTTTTATATGAGTAAAGTAATTTAAAAAAACTTTGAAGGAAAAAAATGAGAGTCTAAGAGGCACTGACAAGGGAGTTCTTTGCTTCAGGTGAATGTCCCCCTAAAATCCTTCATGTGATTTTTCAAATAAGTGTCTTTTAAATGCCTACAAAGAAGCTACCATCATACATCTTGGTAATTTTTTCCCTTTGAAGTTGGGCTGGCCAATGATCTAAGTATTTACCTTCCAAACCCTAGACTAGGGCTTCACACGCCAGTCTTGTAACAAATGAAAGTGCAATTCACCTGCACAATTCACAGCAAAACAGCATGGCAGGTCAGAGAACTCCAGGCGGATCTGGGGGGCTGATCGTAGGAGCATGCAAAGAGTCGAATCCATGAAGATGGATAGGAATCAGAACACAGAGGGTCTGAGTGTCAACAAGATGTGCTTAAATTCTGCTGAAGGCAGTGGGGAGCCATGGATGGACATCTAGTAGAAGAGTGACACAGCAGGTTTGGGTTTTAGAAAACAAAAATCTTACCTTATATACATCTCTTCCCGATTATTATCTTTGTAGAAATTCTAGATAAGGGAGGAAAAACAGTGATGAGTGTTTTTCTTTGCAGAACAGCAAGGGTGGAGGGCATTGTGATGAAGATGAGAGAAAACTGCTATTTACTATCTGGGATAGTAAAGATGAGATGAAAGCAAGAAATTTACTTTCCTGAATGCACCAAACTGCTTATTCTGACTTGAAAGTCACTTCCCTGATCCTTAGACTATAAAGGGACAGAGGAAGTATCCCAGCCGTCACATCAGGAGGTGCAATCCAGCTACTTGCTGCATTGAGAGATAGGCTTTTGAGGAGACTGGGGAAGTTTACTTTGACAGGGTCTACTATGAAAGGCAGCCCAGCTTGATCTTTAAAAGCTCAGATCCTGCACTGAAGAGAACTTGAGTTGGAATCAGAATAATAGCAATAGTCAGAGTAACAGTAATAGTAATCACAGTAGATCCCAGTGATGATAACAGATTGTAACTTTTGACAGTGCAGAACTATCAAGAGTTATGCTGAGATTCTACGGTCAAAAACATTTAAACGTGGCAATACCTATTCCATCTCAAGGCTCACGTAGACCAGTGGTTGTTCTGGAATCACATGCATTTTAAAACAAGTCCTTACAGATTTTGAGTCAGGAGATTATGATCTCACACATGAGCCACACTTGGAGAAAATCCAGGTTTAATTCAATGCACCCATGTATACCTAAGGCTCTCAGAGGGTGAGATGGTGTGTTCCAGGGCAGTGGCTGGCAGAGTCCCACTAGACCTCCAGACATGCCCACCCCATCCTGTTCTTCCTGATATTGTGTTTAAGCCACACTCCAAAATCAACAAGATCTGCTTAAATTCTATGCTGGGCTTAAACTGCTTATAGACCTACCTTTCCCAACTTCCTCCCAGGTCAGATTCTGTGAGTGGAAGGCCAGTTTCTTCAGCCAACGTCTACCTCTCCAATGACAAGAAACTGCTAAACTCCTAGAAAACCCCTCCTTCGTGCCCTTTATGTGAAGCAGGCCATGTGGAGTTGTCAGCAATGAACTCCTTTCTGCTGTAATCAGGAATTTTAACTCCCCTTAGCATTTCAGAAAATCAATGGCAATATCTAGGGTGTTTAAAGGGTCCACTTAGGGTAAACGGAGGACACACAACAGAACTCTGGGCACACAATTTATATTTCTGGAGCACTGGAAGTGTCGGGGGGATTGATGTACTAGATGCCATGTGGTCCTTTGGCCAATCTTACTCATTTTAATCCCTTTAGGGTGGGTTGACCTGGTGAGTATGAAGCACTGTTGCTGCTACGAGCTGTCTCATAACCACATCACAGGACATCTGAGAGGGAGACTGGGAGCTGGCCTGTGGCAGGTCGTGTGGTACAGAGGCGAACAGTCTGGGTTTGGAAGTAACTGCTCTAGTTAGCCTGTCCCACAGTACTTTTCCATAAATCCTAGTTATGAGTAGTGCTTCATTCCACAAGATAAGGAAACTAACACACAGTGAGCACTTAACCATGGGTCAGAACTGTACTCTTGTGCCTGGAAAATGCCAGGGACAGAGAAGCCTGGCGGGTTACAGTCCATGCGGTTGTAAAGTCACAGCTGAGTGACTGGGCCCACCCTCACAGGACTGCATAACCTATGAATTAGGTACTATTATTTTCACCATGTAACAGATAAGCAAGCTGAACCTTCAGAAAATTTCCTTGGGTATTCTATTAATTATCCAAGAGAGGGTGAGAATAGGCTGTGTGACTCCAAAGCTCATACTCTTAACCTCTTTACACTGCTGCTTTCTTTTTCTGTGCTGCCTTAAGTGCCAAAGGAGATACTGCCATCCCTTGATATCTTCAGAGTAACGGTGCCCGGACCACCACAGATACCAAAATACAAGGATGCTCAAGTCTCTTACATAAAATGGTACGCTAATAGTATTTGCATATAACCTACACACATCCATATACTTTAAATCATCTCTAGATTACTTGTATTTACTAAAACAATGTAAATGCTATGTAAACAGTTGTAAATCCAATGTAAACGCTATGTAAACAGTGGCTAGCATTCAGTAAATTTAAGTTCACTTCTTGGAACTTGGTGGATTTCTCCCCCTGGTGCTTCCTGTCTGTGGTTGTTCAGTCAGTGCATACCAAACCCCTGTCCATGGGGTTGGAAAAAGTCGGGGAGAGCTGACTACACTCATCCCCATTTCATACAGATGATAGACTGAGGCACAGGAACACAACAATGATTGACTTCAAGTCACAGAGCTGGCAGACGTCAAGAGAGGGGCTCGCTCTCCTGTTTTGCTGATTTCTAAAGCCCTGAGCATGGCTTCCCCATCCACAGCAGCAGCAGAACCCAAAGCCAGACCGGCCCCCATGACTGCTCTGACTGGACAAGGGGAAGCCCACATACCAGCAGGTTCACAGTGCAGCTCATGCGGTTGTCTTTGCTCTCATCCGTCATGACGCCCCGGTAATCCAGCAGCTTCTCCAGAAGGCCTTTGACCAGGTTCACAAAGTTCTCCACCGACCTGGAGATGGTCGGGTGCTCCGCAGCACACTCCATCAGGCTGCCGCACAGACAGGAGGATGGTGAGCTCAAGGGCAGGGGAGAAGGNTGGGGTCGCAGAGTCAGACACACCTGAGCAACTGAACTGAACTTGGGGCTTCCCAGGTGGTGCTAGTGGTAAAGAACCTGCCTTGACAGGTTCAGCCATAACAGACATGGTTGGAACCCTGGGTTGAGAAGATCCCCTGGAGGAGGGCATGACATCCTATTTGGGTATTCTTGCCTGGAGAATCCCATGGACAGAGAAGCCTGGCAGGCTACAGTCCACTGTGTTGCAAAGAGGTGGACACAACTGAAGTGACCTCATGGGCACGTTGACCATATAGTGTAGAAAGTATTTAAAAATTTCCCCCACTGACAAAATGAGAAAAAATAAAAATAAAATTCTAGTGTGGGCAATGGTATGGAGAAATAGTTACTTTTATAGACCCATATTGGGAGTGAATCAGTACAACTATCTGGGGTAGCAATTTTCACAGTATCTGTAAAAATTGTAAAAATACATATCTTTTGATCCAATAATTCTATTTGGGGAATCTATTTTACAGAAATAATCCCATAAGTAGATAAGGGTATATTTATAATACTTAGTGAAGTGAAGTAACTCAGTTGTGTCCGACTCTTTGCAACCCCATGGACTGTAGCATGCCAGGCTCCTCCATCCATTGGATTTTCCAGGCAAGAATACTGGAGTGGGTTGCCATTTCCTTCTCCATACTTAGAATTTGTGTCTAATAGTAAAATAGTTGGAACCATTCTAAATGTCCAATTAAAGTGTATTCACAAAATATGATTCTATGAAGCCATTAAAAAGTATCAGAGATCAATGTTTTGACATAAAAAATCTCTATAAAATACATAGTTGAGAAAATAAAATCTCAGAACAAAATTTGTTTTCTTATTTAACCATCTTACAAAGAACCTACCATGTCCTAGGCATTATTCTAAACATCTTACAAATTTTAACTCATTTAATCTACCATCACAATCTTGTGAAATATTTGCTGATGGGGAAATTAACACACAAAGAGGTCAACTAACTTGTCCAGGGTCACACTGTTGGTAAATAGTAGTAACAATAGTCTAGCTCCAGCAACTGCCCTCACGCACCAAATGCTATATGTGAGTGGAAGCATGTGTCTACTTAATGTGTCTTTGTGTGTTTATAAATGTGTCCATCAGGAAGGATAAACACCTAACTCTAAAGGCACATTGCTTCAGACAAAGGGTCTAGGTGGAGGAATAGAAGAGGACATTGTTCACTTTTCAGTTTAAACGTTCCTATGCTATTTGAACACGTTACATTTGTTGTAATATTAATATTCTAAATCTTAATAACAAAAAATAGAGTGGTGACATTCCTAAAGTAACTATTAGTGCTAGGCAATATGCTAGAGTGGGGGTGGGGAGAAAGATATAAATATACATGAAAATATAAAGAATTAAGCCTGCTCTTAAGCAGCCCACAGGCTAGGTAAAGAGAGACAGATGGATTAAAATTCTGATTAATGATTACTTCTTAATCACTTATTCTGCACCATGTGTACATGCTCAGTTGCTAAGTTGTGTCCAACTCTGCAGCTCCATGACTGTAGCCTTCCAGGCACCTCTGTGCACAGGATTTTCCAGGCTAGAATTCTAGAGTGGGTTGTTATTTCCTTCTCCAGGGATTTTCCCAGCCCAGGGATTGAACCCACGTCTACATCGTCTCCTGCATTAGCAGGTGAATTCTTTACCACTGAGCCAGACATTGTCTAATCACCTTTTCTTAAGAAATAATAACGGTCATTCTGATAAGTAAAAATGATTCCTCTTATTTTGAAGATGAGGTAATCAAGGCTCAGAGAGGTTAAATGTCCTTCCCAGTATCACTCTGCTAGTAAGCGGTGACCTTGGGAATCAAGACAATCACTTCAGTATTTCTTGCAGAGAAACACTGGTGTGTTCTCAGGCATCTTAAGTAGACAAGCACTTCTCAGGCTACATCTGTTTCTGCCTACTCTGCCCGCAGCAGTTTAGGTCCCAAGAGTTCCTAAGAGGGGGAAAGGAAGGAAGGCAAGGACTCTGGAGGGTCATTTTGCCCAGAAGCCAAACCAGACTGCAAGGAGATGGCATCTCAAACTGTGGCTGCGATCAGACAAATCCATCTTCGCTGTAGGAAAAGCACCTGTTCCCTGCTCTCAAGGAGAGATGCAAATTGCTCTGTGATGTAGCCCTGTCTGCCTCAGTCACAGCTGTGCCTCACTCCTTCTGGGATGGTCACTTCAAGCCTTGTTTTCAATCTTAATGACAGTGCATTGACATTTTGTCCCAGTGTTTGGGGTATGATTTCCCACAGCCCCTCTGGTAGAAGACATCTGAGGGTGTGAGCCCGGCCAGATCAGTGGCTCCCTGTCCTGGCTCATGGTAGAGTCACAAGGGAGCTCCCACAAAACTCACGGTCCACCCCAGGTTGATGCCTTTGTATCCCTGGAGAAGGGAGTCAGTCAGTGAGCAGTATTTTACTTCTTTTCTCTAGGTGATTCTAATGTGCAGCCAATATTAAGAACCATTGGTTTTTCTCTGCTGTTTTGCAGACTTAAATATGCATGGGGGTCACCTGGGCACTGCGTTCATGATTCTGACTCATCAGATTTGGGTTAGGGCCTGAGATTCTGCATTTTAACAAGCTCCCAGACGATGCTATACTGCTGGTTCTTTGAAAAGCAAGGGTTCAGAAAATACAAAGTCTTGGGTTTCTGACTCTATTTTTCAGCCATAAGGTAAGAAGACTGCTCATATGGTCTGGGGTTGGTGAGACGGATGGGCAGGTTGGTTTGAAATCACTCACCCATCCATCATCCATCACCATCCATCTAGCCATCTGTGTGTTCAACATGAATTCTTCTGGGCACTAGGGATTTGGAGATCTCAGAAACAGAAATTCACTGACCTCCAGGAGTTCATGGTCTAGCAGTGAAAGCAGATATAGAAATAAAAACTAACCATAACCAGCTAAGCTGGCTTTATTGATTATCTTGTTCAATGCTCACATGATCTCCTTGAAGTAGGCATCATTATCACCCTCAATTTGTAGGCTAGGTTCGAAGCCCCCATGAGGCTAGGTTCTAATCTTGATCCTGCCAAGGTCACGCATTTTCCTTTGAGTCCAACAGTGGAGTGTGAGTAACAAGGAAAAACAGCTGCGAGACTCTCAAAGTGATGCAGTAATCCTTCAGTTGGTGGAAGGAGGGGTGGCAGGACACTGAGCACCCGGCATCTGTGCTCCTGCCTTGGTGGGGATTGAGGGGGCTCACGCTCCCCCCAGAATGGTTTGCATTCAGTACGGAAGATCTTCAGAGGGAGGAGCCCAGGCCCACACCCTTTGTCAGTGCTGGACTGGACTCTCATTTATTCCTTCAAAGACTATGTATGGTATGCTTCTTATGACAGGTCCTCTTTCAGCTGAACTGGTTTGAGATCTAGGCCCTAAAACACACCTTTTCTGTCCCCTTCAGGCTTCTGGCCCCCTTGCCCCTTCTAGAAATATTCCCAGGCAGATGGAATACAGGAGGGTAAAAGTGTCTTGTTATTCCATTTAATGTGGGACTCTCACTTTAAGACAGATGTGGACAAATGGGATTGGGCTCCAAAGACAGCTCCAAGGATGGGGAGGGGCAAGATACTGTGTAAGGCTGTGTACTGCACAAGAGCCTAGGAATACTGAAATTTAGCATCACTGCATACCCTAACACTGGTGCCCTGATTCAGGGTTTCAACTGCTACCAGAGGGGAAGCCATGTTCTATTCATAAAAGTTACCAGGTTGTGTGGCCGCCTAACTGTGTCTGCTCAGAGTGGGTCCTATGTATTAGTGGAGGCCCTGAATGGTGGGAGCAGCTGGAAGAGAAATGATACATAGGCTCGTGGCTTCAAATCATTATTTGATTGGGCTTCCCAGGTGGCTCAGTTGTAAAGAAACTGCCTGCCAGTGTAGGAGACACTGATTCAATCCCTGGGTCGGGAAGATGCCCTGGAGGAGGAAATGGCAGCGCACTCCAGTATTCTTGCCTGAAGAATCCCATGGACAGAGGAGGCTGGTGGGCTACAGTCGATGGGCACTAAGCGTCAGACACGACGGAGTGACTGAGCACACACATGCATCCCCTAGATTAAGGATAATAATAGCTACTATTTCCAGACAACCGACAAGGTGTCACAAACTGTAATAAGTACTTTTCATGATGTGTCTTGTTCATTCTCAATAAAAGCTCTAAGGCTTGGATGGTGTTTTTATCCTCGATTTGCAGCTAAGGAAACTGAGGCTCAGAAAGTCAAAAGGAAGGAGCAGGGACTTGGTCCCTGGGTGTTCTGATGGGGTGCTGATACTGTGGGTTGGGCTTGATTAGCTTTGAAAAATCATTCACACCTCTCTTTCAGGAGAAAAATAATGAGCTGTTTTTAATTTCCTTGACCTCCAAGGACCCTTTTATAAATAATCACTCAGGAAGGATTTGAAAATCCTGCTGATCATCTGAAGACTGGCTGCAGGGCCCCATCCGCTTATTTGAATGGAAATTGCCAGCACCAGCCCTGGTTTCACTTCTGGTCGATATTTAGATTTTCCTTCCTTGAGCTTTAAGAAAAATATTAACACAGGCAAAATGTCACCTCCTCCCTGGACAGTCAGTCTCAACACCCAGCGAGGAGCAGAGGGAGGTCTCTCCTCCAGCTGAGTGGCCTTTGCTTTCCAGGTTGTTTAGTGAGGGCTGTGCCTGGCGACCGGAGGCGGCACGGCCAGCTGGGGTGGCGCTGCCTGGGACTCAGCTCGTCCACTGGGCTCTGCCTGCTGGGCCGGGGAGGGAGGGTCATGGCGAGGGTCAGAATAAGACCTTCAGTGTGCTTTTGTTGTTGAACTAAAAGCTTCCTAAGAGGATTGGGGAAAGAGTTCAAGATTGACTACATATCAGAGAATCAAACAAATCAGGGAATCTACAAATAGGAGGGAACTTGGGATGTGTGAGCCATATTCCTACACCTTAGGAGAAGCCCTCACTTCTCATGGTATCAGAGATAAGACACTGGGAGTTAGGAAGCGGATCAAACAGTATTTATTCAGCTTCTACCTTCTGTGTCCATTCTTCAATATAACCCCAGGAGGCTTATTATCCCCATTTTACAGATGGGGCACACTGGAGCCAAAGCTGTGACATGACTGGTCCAAAGTTGTGCGGCTGCTGAGTGGTGGAACCAGACGAAAATCCTCCAACAGCATACAAATGGTCAATGTGCACATGAAAAGATGCTCAACATCATTAGCCATGTAGGAAATGCTAACTGAAATGACAATGGATATCATTTCATATCTGCTAGTGAAGTGAAAGTCACTCAGTCATGTCCGACTCTTTGCGACCCCATGAACTATACAGTCCATGGAATTCTCCAGGCCAGAATACTGGAATAGGTAGCCTTTCCCATTTCCAGGGGATCTTCCCAACCCAGGGATCGAACCCAGGTCTCCTGCATCACAGGCAGATTCTTTGCCAGTTGAGCCACAAGGGAAGCCCTCGTATCTGCTAGGATGTCTATAATGATAAGAAACATATGAACAGAGGGATATGGAGAAATTGGAACCCATGTACAGTGCTGGTAGGAATGTAACTGGTATAGTTACTTTGGAAAACAGTTTTATGGTTCCTCAAGAGGCTAAATATATAGTTGCCATATGACCCAGAAATTCCACTCCTAGTTATATACCCAAGAGCACTGTAAACACGTGTTCACATAAACGTTTGTATATGAATGGTCATAACAGTATTATTTGTGATAGCCCAAAGCAGAGACAGTCTAAATGGTCATGAGCTGATGAATGGATAAACGAAATAGGGTCTAGCCAATCAAAAGAAATGGAATACTGACACATGCTACAGCATGGATGAACCCGGAGAGCATGCTATGAGAAAGAAGCCACTCACAAAGGATTGTGTGTTTTATCATTCTATTCATATGAAATGTCCAGAATAAACACATGCATAGAAACCACAAAGAAGGGGAGCGGATGGTGACGAAGGGGTATGGGCGTTCTTTCGGGAGGTGACAAAAATGTTCTAAAAGTGATTGTGGTAATGGTTGCACAGCTCTGTGAATACACTAAAAGCCACACTGGCCATTTGTATGTTGCTGGAGGAGTTTCATCTTGGGTTCCACTACTCATCACTTCAGGTGAACTGTCTGCTATATGAATTATATCTCTATAAGCTGCTAAAACATTGTCCTGAGCCCAAGTTCAGTGCTCCTAGGTGCTGTCCACCGCCCACTGCCTCACTGGGCCTGTGAGCTGGAGTTTAGCAGAGCTGGGTTCAGTCCCAGCTTGTCCACTTGACTAGCTTGACCTAGTCTCCTTGGACAAGACACTTCCCTGAGCTTTAGGGGCATTGCTATGAAATGAGATCAAACAGAGAAAACTCAACTAAAGGAGACAATACAGAGAGATCACTTAATGTGATTCCACAGATTGTATGTGCTCCATATCTGTTGACTGTGATCAATATGTGTCAAAGATTAAAAAAGAAAAAAGGAAAAGACAGCAAAAACTATTCCACAGATAAGAGATAACAAAAGTTAACATCCTGGTGGATTATCTCCCTCTCCCCTACACAGCAGTTTCTTTTATCACCTGTTCCATCAATATCAAAGAAATAGCCACTGCAGAGAGATGTGAGATTTCTTCCAAAAGTGGAGTTTCTCCAACACCCATGAGCCTCCAGATTGGTCTCCAGGGGAGGACAGAGCCCCTGGGGTCCTGCACCCTTGGGCTTCAGGCCTGCCCTTCTGGGTCCTCCCGCTCTGGGTCCTAAACTCACATTGACTCCAGCAGCTGCATGTACTGCTCGTCCCCTCGGCCACCTTCCACTTCATGATCCAGCTTGAGGATGATCTCGTTTTCAAACTAAAGAAGTAGGAGATGAAAGTCAACAATTACAATGTTAGAAGGCTGAATGTTGAAATTAGTCCATTCAAGGCTTTAACCAGGGCTTCCGGGGGCTTTTATCATCTCCAAGGCTTCCCAGGTGGTGCTAGTGATAAAGAACACAGGAGAATTAAGAGACTTGGGCTCAGTCCCTGGGTCAGGAAGATCCCATGGAGAAAGGAATGGCAACGCACTCCATTATCCTTGCCTGGAGAACCCTATGAACAGAGAAGACTGGCAGGCTACAGTCTATAGGGTTGTGAAGAGTCAGGCATGACTTCGCAACTCAACAGCAGCAGCAACTCCCAGGTTTAGTGCTGGAAACTGGGAATGCAATAAGAAACAGGATGCTACACTTGCCTTTTAGGAGTTCCTTGGGAGTGGAGAAGAGCAATAGATTGTAAGTGCTGGAGCAGAGAGATAGGCATATGAAAGACAGACAAACAGGAAAGTCTTCAGGGAAAGCACATAGCCCATGTCATTTGACTTTGTTCTCAGGTTTATGTTGACATTTTTCGGGAGAAAGGAAAGAGAAAAGACATTCTAAGCAGAGAGTATGGGCAAAGGCTCTGAGGTATGTGACAGAGCACTGATCTTTAAGAGACGGTATGTTGGCATGATCAATTATTATTTCTGCATGCCTAGCATTCCTTTTTTTAAACTTGGATAATCACATCAGCCTTAATTTCAATTTGTGGGACTTAGGTGGGCTGAACACATCTCCCTAGCTCCAGGTGTGGATACATGACATAGGCCAAGCACCTGATCAGTGTCTTTCATTATCCAGACCCTAAAGTTAAGAAGGGCCCAGATCAAGCCAGTGAGATTCAAATCTGAGGTTTTGCTGGTACTCTTAGCAAAAAGAAGTCTTTCTGCTTAACTTGAAGATTGTAAGCCAGAGGTTGCTGGGGAGGAACACAATGAAGGAGTCTGCCTAAGAATGACACCAATGTAGTGGAAATCAGAGAGGAAGAGATGGGGAGAGATTGAAACCTGGTGATATTTTTGAGCTCCTGAATCAAGCCACACCTGAAGCTAAAATATTTATGTGAACTGATGCCTCAGAGAGTCAAGACTGGTGACAACTATAATAGAGATCAGACTAGCTAAGTGAGGGCTTCCCAGGTGGCTCAGAGGTAAAGAATCTGCCTACCAATGCAGCAGCCACAAGAGATACAGGTTCAATCCCTGGATCGGGAAGATCCCCTGGAGGAGGAAATGGCAACCTACTCCAGTATTCTTGTCTGGGAAATCTCATGGACAGAGGAGCCTGGCGGGCTACAGTCCATAGGGTCACAAAGAGTTGGGCATGACTAAGCATGCATAGTTAAGTGACCTGAAGGCACCTAGACACCAATTCTTGCAACATGGAAGCCAATGTGTATTTTGGCTCCCATATTCAGTGTCAAGAAGCATCTCACCCAGTTGAGTTTAGGGCTTATTTAACATTTTGAAGGGCCATTCAGTGTCTCTTATATGGCTAAAATGCAAAAATGGTTTGCATACTGTATTAGTATCATCCCTTGATGAGTCCATCCAAATCATGTGATCCAACTCGTCACTCATTTTACTGCTAGATAAGAAACTGGCACTTCGAGAAGGGAGGGAGGTTCTTGTTGAGGTTCCTTACCTTTCGGGGGGCCTTTGGGCTTTCTTGGTTCTTACTTTTGCTTTTTTCCTTTCGTTCTTCCCATTGGCCCATGAGGTCTGGAAGTCAAGGATCACTTTAAACGCTATCATGCATTGAAAGCAGCTAGCCCCTGCTTGGCATCACCCTCAGTAAGTGTCAGTTTTTAGTACAGATGAAATCGAGGCTCAGAGAGTTTAAATGGCTTGTTTAAAGTCTCAGATGGAAGCAACCTAGATGTCCATCAGCAGATGAATGGATAAGAAAGCTGTGGTACATATACACAATGGAATATTACTCGGCCATTAAAAGAATACATCTGAATCAGTTCTAATGAGGTGGATGAAACTGGAGCCTATTATAGAGAGTGAAGTAAGCCAGAAAGAAAAACACCAATACAGTATACTAACACATATATGTGGAATTTAGAAAGATGGTAATGATAACACTGTATGCGAGACAGCAAAAGAAGCGCAGATGTATTGAACAGTCTTTTGGACTCTGTGGGAGAAGGCGAGGGTGGGTGATATGGGAGAATGGCATTGAAACATGTAAATTATCATATGTGAGATGAATTGCCAGTCCAGGTTGGATGCATGAGACAGGGTGCTCAGGGCTGGTGCACTGGGATGAGCCTGAGGAATGGGATGGGGAGGGAGGTGGGAGGGGGGTTCAGGATGGAGACACATGTACACCCATGGCTGATTCATGTCAGTGTATGGCATAATCAATACAATATTGTAAAGTAAAATAAATAAATTAATTAAAAAAATAAAAATACCGTGTAACCTATTTAAGAACTATAAAAATACTTAAAATACATGCAAAAAAGTAAAACTGATAAAGAAGTAGAAGAAAAAAGAGACAATATATTTATATAGTTCTCAGAGGATAGAAAACCTGAAAGCAATATAAATGGATATATCTAGCCATTCAAGAATAGAAAGTTTCTATAAGTTAAAAAAGTCAGTATTAGCTCATATCATTTGTAGTTCCTAAAAAAAGTATAACCAATTTTCAACTATTAAAATCTGCAAAGATTAAAAAGAACAATAGCAGCCACTGTTGTTAAGGGGACACTCCAATAACTCTGCTGTGAGAGTAAATTGATACTACCTTTCTAGTGAACACCTAGGAACAATTTATCAAAATCAGTAAAAAACACGTATACCATTTAATCAAGTAATTCTACTTTGAGGAATTTAGCCCAAAGAAACAATTAAAAATAAATACAACCATTACATGTATGAATCTGAATCACTGTGCTATATAGCTAAAACTAACACTGTATATCAACTATACTTCAATTAAAAACAAACAAAACAAAAAGTCTCATATGGATGGCAGAAATCTTTAGGCAAGTTCTTCCCAGTGCACAAAGGATCAAGCCCGGTTTAGTTGGTTGGACTCCTTTAGGTGATGGAAGACAGGGACCAGATTCGCTTTCTCCTTGGTTCACATATCGTCTGTGGGATGTTGTTCCCTCCCTTTTGTGTGCTGAGGGCCAGTGCAAGGACCAGAAGCTTGTGCTCGTAGTTTGTGTGGAGGAAGAATCTCCTATGTTTCCGCAGTTGAGGAAGATTTATGGAAGGAGATACACAGGTCTGGAAAGATGGGTAGGACTGGGATAAGCATGAAAAGGAAGGGCACTCCAGACCAGGGAGGTGGGGATGGACTGAGCAAAGGTGTGGAGGTGGGAATACGGAGAAAAATGAGGAGAACAGTTCAGCTGGAGCATAGAGGTCAAGAAAGAGTGGAAATAAGAACAGAGACGCAGGTATGGGGGTCAGTGTGGTGAGGCTCTGGGCTGCCAATCTATACATGAATCATGCCCCTTATGCTCTGGGCTGCCAATCTATACGTGAATCATGCCCCTTATGTGATGCATTCTGTTAGCCTTTTGTCTGTGTCAAGTGTCAGCCAAAGTCAGGCTAGCGCGATTAGACATGTCTACTGCGCTGAGCCCAGGGTGGGAACAGAGAGCCAAGGGGCCACAAGAGCAGGTGCTGACGCTGGGGCACGGGGGTAAACAAGCACCCGCTTTAAACGTCTCCTCCATCTGCTTCACGTCTCCGGAAAATGAGTAGGCCTTTCTAATCCTCAGCTTCACAGTTTATGTCAGGGCTCAGCAAACGCTTTCTTAAAGGGCCAGTTAGTATTTTAGTTAGGCTTTGTGGGTCAGTCTCTGTCACAACTACTCAACCTCCCTGTCGTGGTACCAAAGCAGCCATAGCTGATATGAAAACAAGTCAGCATGAGTATGGTCCCATCAAGCTTCACTTACAGAAACAAGTGGCAGGGCAGATTTTGCCTGTGGGGTCATAGTTTGTTGATTCCGACTAATAACAGGCATAACTGTGGTACCTCCTGCATGGGGTAGTTAGGGAGACTGGGGACATGTTATTTACAAAGCACTAGGGGATTTTGGCAACCCACTGCAGTATTCTTGCCTGGGAAACCTCATGGACAGACGAGCCTGGTGGGCTGCAGTCCATGGGGTCGCAGAGTCGGGCACGACTGGGCGACTGACGCTCCCAATGCTTAGGGGATTGCACAGGCTCAAGGGTGCGCTGGGCTTTCTTATCATCTTATGATTGCTGCTAATGTTATTGTTATTATTGCTGAATGTTACTGGAAAGCAGCTCTTGGGGAGAAAACCAGCTTTGCTGAGCTGTTCAGTGGTAAATGTTGGCATGCTTCCTCCTCGTGAGATGAACTTTCCTTTGGAGTCGAGGAGTGGATGGGGTAAATAAGCACTTGTCTCAGGGTCACAAAAGAACCCAGAGGGAGGGAAATTACAGGGTGCCAGGAATGTGCAGAGCTGAGGACGCCAGCCACGCCTGAGCCCTCCGGGGCGGGGTGGAGAGGGGAGGTTTCAGTCAAGCGCATCCCAGGGCAGACTCTGGTCCTTTGGGCTGCTGGAACCAGCGGTGGGCTATGCTTGGGAGTGGCTTTGACCACAAGCTTTGGCATCAGACAGACTTGGTTTGGTTCCCAGGTGGCACAGTGGTTAAGTATCCACCTGCCAGTGCAGGAGATGCAGGAGACAGGTTCAGTCCCTGGGTTCGGAAGATCCTCTGGAGTAGGAAATGGTAACCCACTCCACTATTCTTGCCTGGACAGTTCCATGGACAGAGGAGCCTATGGGCTACAGTCCACGGGGTCACAAAGAGCTAGATGTGACTGAGCACACACACACACACACACACACACACACAGGCTTAGTCTGAGTCTTGCTCCAACTGTCTCTCCTACCACATGACCTTCAGCAAGTCAATAAGCCTTTCTGAAGCTCAGCTTTCTCATCTTTTAAATGGAAATTTAAAGTAGCGCCTATTTTATAGTGCTGAAC